CCTGCCCGTGTCCCAATTTAAATAAAAGCATTCGAAACGTCGGGCCAAAGTTCAAAATCATTTTTTAAATAAGTTTAACTAATATATCGCGTTTTAAACCGTTAAAGTGTTTTATTTAAATGTGTACTACTCGGGTAAACTATAGACAGTGTCACAATTTATTTATAATGCCATTATGTGCAATCACATGAAACAAATTTAAAGTTTTCAAATATATATGTTCATTTAATATTATATATATATATTGCTAAATTATTGTATTCTTAAATATGCAATTTTATTAATTTATGATGATTGTTGATAGATGTTAATTGATTGGGTTAGAAATATACAGGGTGTGGCTTTTAAAGAAGATTTATCAAGATTTTTATATAAAATGCAAGTTCGGAGCATATTTAAAATTTGACCTTTTATAGATATAGATACTTTCAACCCATATCTATACTAATAAAAAAGCTGAAGAGTTTGTTTGTTTTTTTTTTTGAACGCGCTAAACACAGGAGCTACAAGATCGAATTATTTTTTTTTTTTGTTGGTTGCATCATTTATTGAGGAAGGCAAAACATCAGAAAAGAAACAGTGAGAAATGTGAAAAAACGGCGATGTCGTTTCCATTGTCATTTATTAGTTTAAAACCAAAGGTGTGATAAAAAACGACTTTTTTTTAAATTTTTTTTTTGTTTTGGAAACAGTTTCATTACAATTTCATACACGGGTAATTTTAATAGATCTGACGGCACTCTGTATATCATTGAGTTGTCTGACGTCATTAGATTATTAAAATATGACATAACTTGTGATTTACGGTGATGCTAATCTTAACTTGAACCCTAGGGTTATAATAACGCAAAATATATTTATTTATTTTTAATTTTTTTCAACAACTGCTTGACGTTACGGATACTTAGCAGCACGTGGGACGCAGTCCCCCCGTGACCACGGCTGCTGGATTAAAAATAATTATGGAATACCTGCGTCTTTCTACATTAATTGTAATTGACGGGCTCGTTGGTATAGTGGCAGCATTGTAGGTAGCATTATATGGCTAATAACCAACAGGTCATAGATTCGTGTAGTCAAAAAATAAATTCAATCTGTGGGATCACGAATATCCAAAGCGAGAAAAGTTCGACTGCATCTTGTTTAGGTACTATGGCTGGGGTATTTCCCATTCCAGGAAGTGAACCCATCGCTTATCTGTCTTTCTCTGTCATATTAAAATTAATGTATAGCTCCAATTAAATAAATATCCAGAAATAGATAATTAATATTGGTCAACCAGATATTTTTAACACAATAAGTCCTTCAATAACAAAAATACACCCTTATAGGGTTGAAATAACTCGACCACGTTCTAGTTTCACACAATTACAGAACGTTGACCCCACGTCCTATTAATAAAAAAACTTTGCTTTCGCATTATTTCCTAAAATACTTTTTAATTGTTAGACATGTACAATTAAAGGGTATTTTAGGAATGTCATTTCTTTGAGTTGATTTATTTTTAAATATTATAATTTGTTAAGTTTTTGAACTAAATATCATTTTATATCAGTCACCATAATGAAAAACTTATGAGAGATTGTATTATGACTAGCTGACCCTACAAACGTTTCTTGCTTTATAAACTATTTATAGGAATTTTCTAGTAAGGATCGGGAGGATGAAAAGTTATTGAATTATTAAAATAAGAATAAAAATAGGGGTTGTAGATAGGATGGTGTATGTATTTTTTAAAGCCATATTATTATAAAATAAACATAAAATAATTTTTCCGTTAAATATAAAATATTAGGTATGAATAATTTATAATAAACGATTCTCAGACTTACTGAAAATGCATATAGAATTTGATAAAAATCGGTCGAGCCGTTTCCAAGGAGTATGGTAACTAACTAAATGGACCAGTACTATATGAATGTAGAAATAATTAATATTAATGTAGTTTATGACAGTTGATAAATAAGTATGTGGAATTAATCACATTACGTATTTTTCAACTGCAGAAGGGACCTGTCACAATTTCAACATTTATACCACCCATATATTGCCTAGATATTTCACACCTAGTAATATTCGAACCCATGACCTATCAATTATTATTAGCCACTATTGCACCAAGGGGCACGCCAAAACAGCTTTTCTCGGTCTATTTTTGAAACATGCTTTACAAAAAAATAAGATTAAAACATAGTAAAATAGCAAGTGTATTTTAATTTTAAATATAATCAACAATAAACGAGAGAGAGAGAGGAATTATAAAGGGAAAACTTGTATAGTTCCTATTCAACAGGTTGTAAACAACGGAGCGAGTCAAGTGATTTTGTCTGAAGGAAATGGCACCTCAAGAAATCCTTAAGACGTCTTGAACTAAATGTGTCAGTGCTTCTCACTAGTCACTGTTATTTTGTAATCTATATGAATACAATGGACATTGACCGGCATTACGACCTACAATCCATCACTTGACACACAATTTGTATAGCGTAAGAGCTGACTCGATAATTTTCAACCTCATTTAGCTTGCCGCGAAACGCGCCATGTTTTCTCTAATACCTATGTCTTCGTCTGCATGGAAGAGTTTTATTTGGGCCTCAACATTTATTTTTGCAAACAATCTCCTAATTTTTATCATATAGCCGTTACTTACGACATCGTCCGGGTCCCGTCAATCTAGCGGCATATATCTTAAGACAGACATTTTTTAGATCAAGTTTAAAAAATCATTCAATAATACATGTTTGTTGGTTTTTTATTGTTCTTCTCAAGAATTTTTCCCCGGAAGGATTATTTTCCCCGTTTTCCTAAACATTTTCCACTGTTTCTTCGCCTTATGTTATCTTAATTATAGCATTATGCTTGCTTCACTCAACTAGCCTTTCTCATTAAATGGTCTATCCAAGGACCACTTAAGTAGTATTTATAGTAAAATAAACGCTTGTATATTTTTTCGGCTATTTTTAAACTTTACCTTGTTAATCATATATTGTTACAATTTCTATAATTCAGCTCTTGGTCTATAGTAATCTTATTACAGCCTAGAAAGTCGTTGATGGTGAATAAATCGCTTCAAATATATAATAGGGACTTCTAGGTAACAAACGGTGTTCAGTACTTGATACAGGTTGCTCTGAGTAGTACTTTGCCATCAACATTATTTATTATCTCATTATCATTTGTTTATTTTAATCATGATATCAGCTTTCTCTAGATAGATCTAATACGGAAAAGTTGCAGAAAAAAGTATAAAACGAATATCTGAGTTATCTGAGTAAGTCAAATAATTTATTCTTAGTACAGTAATAATATAAATATACTGTTATTAAAAATTTACAAGTTTAAATAAAAAAAAAGTTAAAAATCATTTTCAAATAAGTTTAACTAATATATCGCGTTTTAAACCGTTGAAGTGTTTCATTTAAATGTGTACTACTCGCGTAAACTATAGACAGTATTTAATGATTTTTAACTTTAAGTGTTATCTTTGTGTAATATATTATCTATTAGTTATTTACAAACCTAAACTTATGAATGACACTTATAACATCCTTGCAGTATAAGCTATGTAATAAATTGTTGAAAATAGACAGTCTCTGTTATAACTACTAACTATGTCGATAATAGTTATTATATCAAGATACAAAGACTGAAGCATTTGAGTTTCGTTCAAAAACTGATAATTGCAAATCTCTCCACCCTGTATACTATGACGACCTTAGCAATTCACGCCTGTCATTATTTAATTGAGAGCTCGCTCACCTGTGCTTTCTATACATCGGTTGACAGATAGGGTAAATTCGACCTTGAAAGTCAACGGGATAAACTTGGGTCTTTACAGAGCTGAAAACTTTGGAAGTAACAGCCAGTGAAGACACAAATTGCTGTGTGGCAATTATTGGCAATATTATGATTTTTTTGTAACAGAATAACCATGGTCTTGTCTATATGACATTTGAAAAGATTTATGACATCGAAACGAAATGCGTAACGCATCCAAACAAATCCACAGACTGATAAAACATTTTCAGTTTTTTGAATTGTGGAAGGTGTATGGTGACGGAAATGCTGGAAAGATTTTCGCGATGATTCAAACTAGGACTACTAGGATTAGATTAGGATAGCTCTGAAGTTGATTCATAAAATTTCAGCTTATATATTTTTGATATAATAAAGACCAAAGTAAACTACTCTCTATAAATAAGATTACTTAGTGTAACAAAAGGTCGACAACGCATGTTGTTTAAATACTATAGGCCGGGATTTCACCTATCACCAAAATGTGAAATGCCCTCTACTTAAAAAAAAATAAATACCTTGTCCTCTTTCTGTGTGTGGCAAAAAGTTCGTTATATCTGAGTATTATTAGATTAACACCATGAATCCATGTTAGTATTCTTCTTGTGGAATTCAATTTGTATGAATTTCATAGGCTTCAGCATTATTCAGGTCATGTGAGTATTGTAGAGCACGTGTTACGCGTTATCGTATTAAATATATAGTGGTATTACCAACCAATGATTTTCCACATATATCTTTATTTAATCTCTTGCAAATCTGATCGAAATTGTATGTGGAGAGAGGTATCAAGGAACTCTAGTATCTTAAGGTTACCGCTGTCAGGATTGGCAAAAAAGAAATACGAATGTCGTGGGTTTGAATCCCAATATGTAATTCATAAAAATTTATAACATTTTGTAAGAAATATAACCTCATTCGTTGTGTAGTTGATTTAACGCACATCTACGCAAATAGAACATTTACAATACAGCTAAAATGAAGTTTTTCATTTTTATTCAATTAAAAATCATTATGTTTAAAAAGTTAGACGTTTTCTACGAATGAGGGATATTAATATAAAACCTTCTTCGTTTGTTATACAAATGTCATACTGGCCACTACACATTTAAACGTCGAAAAGTTTATGTCAAACATAATTGCGCGACGCTCAAATACAATTTTAATAAAAGTAAACGTTTTTTTTTTCAGAAAACAACGACACAATGAACTACTTAGGTAAAATCGACAGATACTTGGACTCGCTTAAAATCGGCAAAAGTAAGTAACACATTTGAAATATAAGGCGCTCGTTCTGTTAACCTGAAAATGTTTACAATTATGTTGTGTTGATTAATCTTTGTATTCCTTGCTATTATTATCTTGCGTCGGGATTGTTCGTATCATATATTAGTATATTTAAGTACTTTATTAATTGTATCATTCTTTGGTAAGTGTGGTAAATATTAAAAAATACATTCTATCACTTAGATAGGATCTTATGATATTTGAATACTTTCGTTATTAACAAAAAATGGTTTCCGACTACGCTACTACTACTGTTACGCAATTCTCGACTAAGAGAAATTAATATGACGGCTTACGAACCCAACAATTAAAAATAACAATTGACTTGTCGACAATTTTTCGACAAGTCAATTGTCAAACGACTTAACATATTTGTATCTATGTAGGTATATGTATGTAAGCCTTTCTTTTATTTTAGTATATAAAGTGTCTATTTGAAGACTGTTATTTCAGAATAGAAAAGAAATTTATATTTTTTGTCATGAATTTTCAGGTCCCCTCGTAGACTCCTGGTTTATGATGTCCAGTCCAATACCTTTGCTGGCTGTGGTTGTATCTTATCTATTCTTCCTAAAGATTGGGACCCGCTTGATGAAGAATCGGGCTCCTCTACAGCTGACCAAGATAGTTAGTTATTACAATGCTGGCCAAGTAGTTCTTGCAGCGGTATTATGTATAAAGGTATATTTTTAGTGTTCTAACGTCTTCTTACAGCGTGATTTTTTTTTTGTAAAAAGGAAGAAAAACAGAAATGGCATTCTCTTGAGAGTAAATCAAATCCCCCCAGCCATATAAGCCACTATCTATCTATTTTGTCTATAGATATACGGTAATTCATAGACAAAAACCAAAGAGCACATTTACTACCTTATCTCTGTTTTATTTGTGGACGGTAGTTCGTGACCCAGTCGAAATTTTTGATATTTATATCCCTGATTAACATCCAGATCTCCTAAGCCAGATCCAGATATCAACAACACGTTGGCTATTAGCCAGACAATGCTAACATTAGACCGACGAGCCGGTGAAGTTTATTATTTTTTGGGTATATTAATCTAACAGAAATAACCGTGGTATATAGAAAGAACTTACCTCGGTTACACATTTATCAGTTATACAATGGTTCAAAAGTTAGATATCCTGGAGTAGCTTCTGTCTGAAAGGTCACAGATGTAACGTACTCTAATTTATCTTAACCCATGCTTGAAACAGAGAAAACAGGATTTTGCGACTCCTAAACATATATACAATACAATCATATTAACACCGATGGAATATTAATTACTTTTATTTAAACACAGCAAAGATTTATTTCCATTTCTCACAATTTATATAGATTTAGGTAGCCAAGAACTTCTCCTTTTTTTAATAGTTTAATGGTTTTTAATGGTTTTAATATACTGACAGCAATGTTTTTCTTATATACTTTTGTTTAGAATGCATTACACCTGATTTTTCATATTAATTTTTCAGGTCTTCAAATTAAACCTCTTTAAAGATGGAATAATCTACGCAGGGTGTCGTTATCCGTCCAACACTCAAAATCCTTTGGTAGGTATGCTATTATTGATTAGTTGCAAGAGAGCAATATACAAGCGCGAAAACTACCCTCACTAATCATTTTGTTTTGCATTAAATTTTACAGCTCCTGGACCTGGGCTGGTGGTATTTTTTCGCAAAATTTACTGAGCTATTGGACACGGTTTTTTTCGTAATAAGAAAGAAAGAGAAACAGGTAAGAAAGGAATCTTCTTATCATCATTTCTTACCCATTATAACCTTTCCATATTTAAAAAAAAACGAAATTCCAAATTATTGTTCAAAGGTGCAGCTGTTATCAAAAATAAAAATCTGAAATAATTTATTCATGTAGCTAGACTATAAATTTTAAACAGTTCTACATTTACATTTATTACCACTTTCAAAAATATGGGCGTAGAAAGATCTAGAGGAACTAGCAATTCGCCGCCACTCCTTTTATTGTCAAGTTTTTGTTACAATTTTTACGCACATAATGTGTACGTCTCCTTCCTTATTAGAGCGGGTTTCTTCAAACCCCAAGCATGGTTATTTAGATATTGATTTATAAAACCTAATTATGGTTCTAATAATCGTATGTCTCTCTATATTTACGTATTTAATCTAAGAAGTATTGGCATATTCCAATAAAAAGAGAAAAGATCTTAATTTGAGCTAATATTGATAAATTTAAGAACAATTACAGGTGACATTCCTACACGTATATCACCACGTAATAATGGCGTTATACTCTTGGAGTTACCTGAAGTTTGCGGCGGGCGGCGAAGGAGCAGTATTAGCGCTTCTCAACTCGGCTGTCCACATTGTGATGTATTCTTACTACTTCCTATCCGGATTGGGACCAAAATTCCAGAAGTATCTATGGTGGAAGAAGTATGTGACAAAGATGCAGCTGGTGAGTTTCAACATGAAGTAGGTTGTATTTTTAAAGTTGACACTGGTAAAAAGGATAGGAGCGAAGAAACAAAGGGTTTGAGAGTTTCCTCGGAAACAGTTTTATGATACCAAAAATATGTATAAAATAATTTAAAAATAATCTTGACAGAAAATAAAAAATATTTGCATCTTCTTTCAAGATTAACTTAACTTAACAAGATCCGTTTTTATAGGAAGCAAATGTCATCAAAATACTTCATAAAGTAAATAAACGTTTGCCAGGTGGTAGTCTTTGATATACAGCACGTAATAAAATTTCTCTAAACTTTATTTATTAATATATTGGCAGAAAAATATTCGAATATCTTTAGACTGATTTATGTAGCCAATAAATAGGCTTTGTAGCAATTAATTATTTCCTTATTCCCTATTCACCCTTGTCTCTTTTACTTCACAAATTATTTTTGTATGGACCTTTACTTTTTATTATTTATGTTTCAGGGACAATTCATTTTGATGCTCCTATACTGCGTGTGGACACACTTCTCACCAAGATGTCAATACGCAGCTGGCTTCACCTACTTTATATCCTTCAATGTTATCGTATTCCTACTGCTCTTTCTAAACTTCTATTCTAAGAGCTACAAATCTAAAGGCTCAAAGCGAGATGAATCAATAGAGGTTCAGAATGGCCACTGCAAATTAAATGGTGCGAAACTAAATGTAGGTGATAAAGAAAATGGTATTTATAAAAATGGTAGCCTAAATGGTACCCAAGTGCCTTACGACACTAATGCATTCAAAGATATGAAAATCGAGAATGGTCTCAAAAGGAGATCGAAGGAATGTAACGGACCAGATTTGAGCTTTAGAAGCATTGAGAAATGATTCGGTAGCCACATATAGTGGGAGTTATTCTTGGATGCCACTAGATGGCGTTATAATAAGGAAATATACAGACACATTCAGCTTTCTGAACTCAAGAATTGAAAAGTGAAATTAGGCCTTTTTCGTATTACAATTAGTTTGACAGTTTATAAGTTACGCCTCAAATAATTATAAAAGCCCACGATCTTACAAAATAAATACTTTAAAAAGTTACTAGGTAATCTGCAATTTTTATTCAATTGGTCCTTTATATGGAAACAGCGCAACCTAGCGGTGGCAACAATAACTTGAATCTTCTGAGACTGATGTTTGTGATGTTAAATGGCTTTGAAGGAATCACTTAGAAGGTTTGAATTTAAGTTTCTTGTAAATATAGATTAAATAATTGCCTTTCGCAATAAAATGTTTGCAATTACGTACTGTAATTATATAAATAAGTATATGCCTGTTTTAGAATGGATTATCTTAAATCTATAGACTTTACTAGAGCTTAAGGCTTGGGCACACTAAAAGCAGGGCAAGCGCAGTACCGTAGCAGAGCAGGCCAGTTGCGCCGCGGTTAACGTCACACCAGAAACATGAGTAGTCAGAAAGCAGTTTAAGGGCGATTCCTGCTTTATAACTGCGCTAGGTGTGTCGTATCGATCGCCACACTCATTAAACTACTACTACTACTACTCCACAGGTCGTACTAATCAAAGATCGTCAAATTTTGCTTCTTATGTGAGAGAAACGTTTGTATCATACTTTAATAACAATCATTAGTTTCAACTTACTTCATTATCATATAAACATTTTATACATATTACATATTTTCTAACCAACTTAATCAATTTTTCATTTGGTTCCATGAGAAATTTGTTTAAAATTACAACTATTTATAAAATGCACTGCGCAAGTCCCGCTCAACTGCTCTAGTGTAAACAGTCAAATGGCGGACGTAGTAATACAACGCGTGCTCATTGGTGCGGTCCCGCGCCTGCGCCGAAGTGTTTTGTGAAAGAGCCGCGCGTGCCCGGCGCAGTGGCGCAGCAGTTAGGTTCAGCGGGCCCGCGTTTGTTCAATGTGTCATATAACTACATTATTTACTAATATAGACGCACTGCTAGCGCAATGCAATTGCTTTTGGTGTGCCCAAGCCATTACACCACCCTAGCTTAAATCAAGCTGTTTTTAAGTTAGTTCTTTAATTCTCGATTACTATTTGAGCTAAGTGTGGCTTAGCTGTGATTAGTGTAAGCTAATTAGAACTTAGCTCAAGTAAGATCTATAGATTAAACAGAATTTTAAGTAAAAATGTGTTGTAGTTAATATTGGGAATACATATCGGTTTTAGAATACAATGATTAATTATTGACAGCAAAGCAACTCGAACAAACCTTGCGTTGTTATAAACTCTTCCCTTGTTTTAACTTTATAGAAGCCTACCTTCCTTTTTATTTTGAAAATAATAATCTCGCCTAGTTATGTGCATATATATAAATGTTGTACAGAGCTTCGTCACATATATATATTTTCTTTGTTGATAGAAACGTGAGAATAAATTAGCAATAGCCCGAAGTAAAATTTACGAAAGTCGTAAGGAGATTAGTTACATCAAGTACTTATAGAATGAATTTAGTTTATTTTTATGGTGTGCGTAAATTTAGTTTCAGAATCGACGAGCATATTGTTTATTATAAGATGTATTCAAATAGATATATTTTTATCACAAACAAGTTCTATCACTACCGATGCTTATAATATATTATATATGATACATTCTGACTATGTGAATCCGGCCAATAAAATTATTATAATTTTATTTGTGTGTATATTAAATGTTAGAAAACGTTAATATTTTTACATGTAATGGCATTTTATAAATTTAAAATCTTTTTAGATTGAACAAAATTAGCGACACGAGCGGGACTTGAAAACTGCGTCCACGGCGATCGATCTTGCTATCTTGTAACCAATCGATGGCCACACGCTAGTGTGGAGCGCTGTAGATGCCGGTTCAATTTCCGCCGATGTCATCTTTATTTTCAAGCCAAATAGATTTTCAATTTATATAAAGTGTTAAATAAGATTATTTTCGTAATACAAGAATATTTTAGTAATTTTTGGCTCATTTTTTGTTTCCTGTATTGCGAGCTGTGTAACGGAATTTTCCAAGATTTATAAGTGTGCATTATTTTGTAAGAACTACGGTAACATAGTAAATTCAGTTAAATTGTAATCGACGTCTTTGTCAAGTTGATTTTTTAAGAGTGTAATTTGAAAACCAGTCCTTTCACATCAAAATCGGTCAACAACCGAAACAATATATAATAATTGTATGTAAATGAAAAAACGTAATTAAAGATAAAACTTTAACACGAAAGCTTATAGCATCCCTGAAATGAATGCTATTTATTATATTGTTATGTTATTTATAATTAGTATATAATGAAATATCTAAAATTTTATACATATTAACTAATAATTCCTCTATAAATAACGTCTACGATAGTATAAGTGTAGAACAACTTTGTTTTGTAGTGCTATTTGAGGATATTTGTTGTTTTAATTGGTAATTTACTTTAATTGTAAAATAAGTACTGATAATGACAGCTTTCAACAATACCAAGGATTCCACGATTAACAGATTAAAAGTGTCCATATCAGGCCATTAGCAGACAATAGAGTTAAGAAGCAATATCTTTATTAATACAAAAAATTCGATTTAGAAATCTTCAAATGATAAACGATGAAAAAGGGATGGTAGGACTATCCAAAGTCCCTCAGTGTCACGACCACCGTCCACAGTTGAAAAAGCCGTGAAGTTTAATCGCGTTTCGGTTTCAGTCTGTGGGTTTCCGAATATCCAAAGCCTAAATAGGTCGACAGTGTATCTTGTGTAGATTATGGCTGGGGTATTTCACCCGAATTGAACTCCATTGTCTGTCCTCTTCCACCATTAAAAAAGAATTAAAAAATACTGTTTCTTGATGTCTTATTTGGGCCTAGTCGTCTGTTTCTGCATTGGCTCCTCGGTGTTGTTAAAATATGACGTTAGCGGCTACACGAATTATTTTAACCTTAATATTTGTTGCTGACGGGCTTTAGGGCACATTTAAGGGCGTAATTACGTATTCCACGAGGTGCTAATAAAGTAGACCTTATCGCATTGAAAATGCTCTTGCTGCAATTGGGTTTTGTAGGTACAGTTGAGGACACAGTTCTTGCGTTCAGGGCACATAATGGCACTACAAAAATAACGTTTAAATACAGCGAAGCAAGCGTTTTAGTAAGACCTATTTTTGTTTGTTCAAATACAAAAGAACTTCTATATTTTTTTTACATTGATGTAAAACTACACACTGTCTGTAGTTTACGAGAATAGTACACATTTAAATAAATACTATAACGGTTTAAACGGCCTGACCACAGCAAAGCATCCGAAACATCGGGCCGTAGTTAAAATAATTTCAGCTAATATATTTCGCGTTTTATACCGTTAGCGTTTTATTTAAATATATGTAAAACTATTTGCTGGACACATTCCTTTAATGTCTATCTATTATAATATTATTAGTCTTATTTCTTTGAGAACAGACAAATAATCTAACATAATTTTAGACGTGATATAGAAAACATTTTGAGATGCTTTTCGACTTGTTTGACTAGAGAAAAAAATTTAATACTGGTTATTTTTATATGCCTTAATCGTATTACCCAATGCTTCTATTTGGGATCCAAATAAAAGGACAGGTTATCTGCTGACAATTTTGCCTATAAACACGACATACAAGTACACGTAGTGTCAAAGGTAAATAATTATCTAGTTTGTGATTTCAAACTTTCCCCCAAAATTCATGCATGTACTATTGCTTCGTAGAAGAAGTTGGGTTTTATTTAGTTGTATGTCGTTTACGCTAGTAGTATACGTTAAAAACCTCTTCATTGTTCTATAACTTGTAACTGTGTGTCATAAACCGCAAAAAAAATGTTTTTTTTTGTAAAAGAGTTTTATGGTCTTTTAAATGATAGTTCATCTAAATCGTCTGCCCTGACTCCAAGATCTGTGTCTTCCGTTGTGCGTTCCTTTCAATAGAGATATATATTAAAATAAATTTTTATTTTTCTTAATATGAGAATGTATAGACGTAGTACAAAATTATACGAAAATGCCAGTGAAAAGAAACGCTTTATAAAATGTAAATCGCACAATAAATATTAATTACTAAGGTTAAAGTTAAGATATTCAAATAGTTAAGTTGACTTGTTCACTGAAGACTCACCGTCTTCCGAGGGATATCAGAGTTTTCCTGTGAATTAAATTATTATTATTATTGATTGATCTTTTTCATTACGATGCGAATATTTTTGTGGTATTCAAAGCAAAAATAGGACGGCAACGCATCTAGTGTAGATGCTATAGGCTGGGCTTTTCACCCACCATCAAGTGAACCTGACCGCCTCTGTAGCCAAACGGTTAAACGCATTGCCTATCATTGCGTGCGAGAGGTTCTTGGTTCGAATCCCAGGGAAACAAATGTTTCGCTCGGGCAGAGCATAGAAATCTGATCGACTACTAGCCTGTTAAAGAACGGATTAGTGAAACGGATACAGAAATGTGCCCCACGAGGGGGAAACGGGATTTCATACATCACCTCTTTGATTGTCTGTCCTTCTCATTAAAAAATAACGTTTTTTTTCTTCCCTTCATCATCTCAAATCGAATTCTATCTTCATCATTGCATAACAAAAGATAATAAGGCAAAATACTTGTTTTCCAGAGTGTTCTAGGAACATAGGAATGTGAACTTCGTACCAGTATTTCATTGGTAAGCAATATTATATAATGTGTCGACATAGTTAAAATATAATGGAAGTCTACTAACATATTTACATAAAATATGTGAATTGAATTACTTTGACGGACGAGAAAAGGCGGTTGTGGCCTCTTGTTGAGGACCACTTCCGAATTAAACTAGATTTTTTTGCTCTTGTTTTTTTTGCTTGTAACCCCAATATTTAAAAGATTAAATTAATAAGGAATATTTATCAAGTTTAAGTAAGTAAGAAATAAGCCACACACAAACATATAAAATGTATTTATTTATTTCAATATAAACATATTCTACCATTACAGAAGTATATCCATTGCGATAGAATTATTGTATACATATTTCATAGAGTGATGTTTTTGTTAATTCACCCAGGCTGCACGTAAAAACGTCGATCCCCTCCTGCAGCTTGTTGATAACACGCATAGCACGAACAAGGGGGAATTTAATCAGCAAGCAGGTGCATGAGTGCGGTAGCGCAAGTGACGGTTGTCGTAATCGCCACCACACGTATCGGTCCGAAACAGACAAGTGGAGGAACTCTAGAACTCCTCGGACCAACTCTGGACCCCGCACTTCCGTGTGATACATGGAAGTGAAAATGTGAAAAACAATATTTCGTTGTTAAATAGAAAACTGTACATTTTACAAAAGATAAACAAGCTACATACATAAATATTTAGCTGTATTCTTCAGTTTAAAAAAAATGTACCCTGAAATTGTATTTTTTAGATATTTTATATTAAGATCTTGTCTGGTCGTTATCATTACAAAAACTTGTGAATTGATTTAATATTTTTCTAAACGATCATATTAATTTAATATTTACTGTATTCTGCTCTGGTTCTATGTTTTAAAATAACTATTATATAATGACTTGCTTATATATTTACGTAAGGTTTTTACATATCCATATAATTGAAGAAATCGGTACAAAGTGCGGCCCGAGTTATAGCATTATCTATACTAATATAATAAAGAGGAAATTTTTGTATTTTTGTATGTAACGGATAAACTCAAAAAGTACAGGACCGATTTTAATAATTCTTTTTTCATTAGAAAGCTACATTATCACTGAATAACATAGGTTATATTAAGTACTTGATTACTATAGGCATCTATAGAAATTCTTACTAAAACCAACGGAAGGCGTAAAAAAATTAGCCGTAAAATGTCTTTCTTCGCATACGCTGCGAAAAGTATTAATGATAGGACAAAAAAAATGTTCGACAATATTATAGAATATATCAATATCTCCAAAAAACATCGCGAGAGCATATGTCTAACTATTGTAGTTATGTCGCTATAACTACTTTTTTACATTTAACAAATTAATAGAAATGCCGATCAAAATCAGACCGTGGTATCCATACCATTTATAAATTTATATTCGAATAAATAATTTAATATTTAAGACTGTCTCAATACCTGATGATTACTTTTTAATTATTGATATCGGACATTCCATTCAAAAGATATCATGAAGTTAAAATAAAAATACATGCCGGCGGCGGCCACCACGCCGCGCATCGAGTAACTAACTCGACGAAAGGGGCACCGGACGCGACCGACATTGAATATTTCGTTTTTTTTTAAAACAGTTTTATGGTTTACTTAAAAAGTTCTTTTCAGAGCTACTTAGTTTCAGTATTAGGAATCACACTTTGCATAATGTTTGTCAAAGTTCTTTTCAGAACTATCGCTTTAAACTTGAATATTTTCTTTTGTATTATTATTAGTTTATTCTTAATTGCTCTGATTTAAAATAAATATCCTTCATAGCAATATGCAATAGCAATATGTCTAGAAGAAGAAGGTCGCAGCTGTCTAAAAATAGTTCCCAAGCGAGATTAGCAAAAGTTCGTCGTATTGGAGAGTCTTCTTCCTAAAATGATCGTTTGGAAAGTATTAGAGTGTACGGGTCCCAATCGCGAGCCAGAGATTCTATCGTCGAACGTTCAGGTTCGTCTTCCAGAACAAAATGCAAGATTGTCGCAGCGACTTGAAGGAAATAGAGCTAGGAATTCGCAAACGTGTGCACGGGACACCAACACTGAACGCTCGCAGAGGCTCCTGAACCAGCGAGATAGACCACGGTCGTTAATAGAGAGGACGCGCAATAAATTTTTTTTCGTTTTAATTAGCATGCTTATAATTTAAATATTTGTATTTATTTATGTCTACCTGTGCGAAGCCGAGACAGGGCCGCTAGTAATTATATATAAGCAGAATCACGTATATATCGTGGTAACGAATTTACAAAAAGTACTATAGCTTGCTACAATTAAAAAATGAATATTTCACACATTTTCATTATACACTTTTTTCGGGTTTCCTAAAACACATAAGAGATTTTAATACATACGGTTTAATATTAAAGTAAGTATTTGACAATTTAATGTTTATTAATAAGATTGTATTGTCTGAGACCAAGCCGTTATAACATAACTTTTTGATTGAATGGTATATTATTAACGTAACATACGTTTTAAATAATGATCTTTAATATACACTAATATTATAAAACTGAATTTTATATATAATATGATTAATTCATATTAATGTACATGATGGTCTCTATAGCTAAATGGTTAATGTGTTGTCAACAATTGTGTTGAGCGCGAGACATCCTGGGTTCCAATCACGGGGAAAAAATATATTGTTCGGTCGAGCGCAGCATAGAAGTCTGAGCAACTACCTGCCTACAAATAAAACAAATAGTGAGTATATGATTGACATAATGATTAAATGAATACCAAAATCGCTTAAACTTATACCACACCTTTACATGTGGAAGTATTGTTACAAATACACTTTTCATATTCGTTTAATTACCGTTTAGATTAGGTTGTAATTGTAGTTTTAGTGAAAAATGGAATCAGTTAATATTACACAAAATAACTCTCAGGAGTTTGATTTTGAGAAGAGTAAGTTGCATTCAACTCAAGTCAACTTCGTTATTCTTTCTACCTTTGGATGATTGTTTTAAGAAAAATGTTCGATGAGTTCGCTAGTGTAATAATAGCAATGGCTAATCATCAATGTGTCGTGGGGTTCGATCCCCGTTTAGTTCAAATTTTTTCTGATCAATTTATAATTTTTCTAAAATATGTTGGGCTTCGTCTGGAAATCTGGATAGTAAATGAGTGATAGGAATGCCGAAATTTCGTCAGGATCACATATAAATGTCTAGAGATGAAAAAGCCATCAAGTTTAATCGCGTTTTGGCTTTCGTCTGTGGACTTCCAAATATCCAGATCCAAAAAAGGTTGACAGCAGATCTTTTTTTAGAGGCTATTTAACCTTCCATCAAGTGGAACCCGTGCTTGTCAAAAGAAGTGTAACTGTGTCTTGACATTATTTACACCCCAACACTCCCTAATACTATGCAGCCTTCTTTCTTTTTAAACCAAACATAATTCAATAAATAAAATAGTTTATCAAGAACAACGTAAAGATGTTAAAATGTTATAAGTAGTCTCTAGTTTACGCGAGGAGTACACATTCAAATAAAACACTTTTAATGGTTTCAAACGCGACTATATATTAGATAACTTGTTTTTTATTTAAATTTAAAATTTTATTACCCTCAGTGACCACGAGTGCTGCAAAGTATCAGAAACATCGGTTTGTAGTAAATTAAACTTTAATGATTTATACCGTTAAAATGTTTTATTATATGATTACAATATGGTGAAGTGTAATTGTATACAAATATTATTTCAATATTTCTTGCGTAAAAACATTTATATTAGTACGATGTAGGGACATGTTATCATGTTTGTTACTTCCTCTTTCAGGTCTCGATGTCGGCAACTGGTTCTTAATGGGGTCTCCTGTACCCCTCCTGACCATAATGATCGCTTACTGGTTGTTTGTACTGAAAGTTGGACGTTTATGGATGAATAAAAGAACACCGTTTACGTTAACCAATGTATTAGCGGTTTATAACGTTGCGCAAATATTTATTTCTTTATATATACTGTGTATTGTAAGTATAACTATTTTTAAATCACCTTTGTTAAGTCTAAGTGTACCATGAGTATAGATTATGCAAAGGAATACAATTTTATTTATATTTTTGTGATCGTTACACGCCTTAATACTAATGATAGTGGTAAGGTTGAAATTACATTGCGAGAGGTATGTATCAATAAGTTACAAAAATTCGAAAATGAGGTGTAGGTGGGACTTAGTAGCTCAATTGGTAGAACAACAGCACCGAACGCTGACGATGCCGGTTCAAGTCCAGCCAGAGTCGAAAATGTTTTTTTCTATTCTTGAGCGAAATCGTATATGCTTCAGAAAGTTAACGGAAAGTAAGTTCGAAATTTAAATATTTTATTTTAATTTTAGGGCAGTGATTTCTTATGGCATAATGGTCTGATTCAAACCGGATGTGGAATAGAGAAAGCGGATGTAAAATTATCTGTAAGTATTCTATAATGATTTGAATGATCTAGACTTAGCTAGATAATAATCAATAGGTCGTGGGTTCTATTTCCATCAGGTCCAAGATAAATCAAAATCAATTTATAATTATGTAATCTCTGTAGTTTACGCGTGTAGAGTAGCAACCTTGGTCACGGGAGGACTGCGTGACCACAGCCCCAAAACTAGTCATATTAAATTGTAAATTAACATATACATTTCACGTTTGGGACCGTTAAAATTGTTTTCTTAAAAGCTATAATTCTTCCACGTTAGAACAACAGAACGAAACACGCGTGGATGACGGTTCAAGTCCTACCATTATGGTAATTTTTTCAAATCTAAAATCTTAGGATCGATTCTACAATCGATTTTAAATTTTGTACAATCACAGTCACATCTTGTGCAATCATATGAAAAATATTAAAAATTTGAATCCTTTATAGTTTAAATAAAATGCTAGTGGTTTAATACGTAAAATGTATTAGTTAAACTAAAATAATTTTAACTACGGTCCGACGTTTCGGATGCTTTGCAGTAGCCGTGGTCACGGGGAGACTTTCATAGTTATCAAATATGTCTTATTAACGTCGTCATCTATTTTAAATTTTAAATCAAGTTTACAGTCTGTAATGTCGGTTTACACAAGCTAATTTAAAAAAAGAGATTATTTTTACACTTTATCGAGACGCCATTTTGAATTTTCGCATTCATTTGCCGATGCGAGCCTGTCACAACAATTTTATCGAACTCCGTTTAAATTCCGCTTATATTTCAGAATATTCTAGTAACGCATTGAAATTATACACTTTGAACGTTGATTGATTACGTATTAATGTATTGTTTACAAATTACAGGCGACCGCCGGCACTTACACGTACTTCCTGGCGAAAATCACGGAATTGTTCGACACGATTTTCTTCATACTAAGAAAGAAGTATAACCAAGCGAGTTTTCTTCACATCTACCACCACTCCATCACTGTTATGAGTACGTGGGTCATTTTAAAGTATGAGCCAAATATGATAGCTACTATATTCTTGGGGACCTTGAACTCCTTTGTCCATGTCATTATGTATACGTATTATGCGTTATCGGCGTATCCACAACTCGCGAAGCATCTATGGTGGAAGAAGTACATCACAAAGTTACAACTGGTAATTATTTCTTATATTTATTAGCTATATAGACGATTTAGTCTATAATTTACGCTAGTAGTAAACATTTAGATAAAACAATTTTAACTGTTTAAAACGCGTAATATACTGAACTGAGCGATACAAAATGTAGGTCTATAGTTAAATTTAAAAATTAGTAAACTTATATATTTCGAGTTTGAAACCGTTAAAAGTGTTCTATTTAAACGTAGCTATTTTAAATGATTTATACATTAACAATCTCGTCGGTCTGGTCGTAAATACACGCGACTGCAGGGCATAAAGTTTGAATCCGTATTTAGATTTTTTTTAATTCCGGGCTTTGGCAGTGAGAGGTAATCACGACCGAGTCATCAGTAAGTTTGTGAAGTCAACATTACAAGAACTCGAATACTATGTACTACTGATACTGATCGTCCTCTTTAGTGATGACACGAGTCATTTAACAATTTTTCGTCTTTTGATTACTTTCTTTCTTTCACTGTATAATGTATGCCATGCAAATGTATTTCTTTTTGTTCCAGGTCCAATTTATGTTGATTTTCGTCCAAATTCTAGCTGATTACAAGTACTCAAAATGCAAACCGTCAAATATTTTAATAACCGTCGTATGCGTGAATTTGTTGCTGTTCGTGTACTTGTTTAGTAATTTCTACGTAAAAACGTACAAACTAAACGACAAGAAAACGAAAAATGTCGACTAGGTATAAGCGTATTAGCACTGTAGCGTTTATAATTAAATAGATTTCACGAATGTGAATGCGAAATTCAATACACGAAGTTTTAACTTGAATCTAATTCACAAAAGCCTTAGGGCGAAAATTAATATATTGTAAGGCGGTTTTAATTAAACACAATTTTAATACCAACGACTTCAGAGACTGGTTTTTTTTTTGTCAATCAAATGCACAATTTGCGAAATCTTAGAATTTCAATCGAAGTCGAGTTAGAATTTCGGACACCATTGAAAAGAAAACAAGAACGTATCGCTTATAATGTCAAATATTTATTTGGATAGGTATCATTATATTAAAATAAGATTAAATAAAATGTTAAGTTCGACGTTTGATATTACATATTAATTGCATTCCCAATTGACAATTAACACAATTAATTACGAGATAAATTTAAATAATTGAATATTTGCTCGAAAAAAGTACATTGTTTTAAAACAAATGGCAGTTTTTATCAATTTAATACACGCAATAGGGATAAAATTAGTGTACCGACCAAAAGGCTCCATAAAACAAGTTATTCTTTTCAAGGTAACTGCATACGTTATTTTAACAAACCAGTAGTAAAGTTTATAAGTAAAGATTCTGTCGTATCGAAAAGCAATTCTTTCAGTAATAAGAATTTAAAAATCACTTCAATTTATTTTTTAAGCATTGGGTGACCGTTGGGTTTTGGATAAGTCCAATTTACGACAATTTTTTCATAGATCTACTTATATAAACCTTTAGGGTTTAATCCTATTGCTTCAGTCCTTGAGAGTTGTGAGATGGTATTCCGCTAGTAACAAGGACGGACTGTACTGGACTTAATAGCATTTTTGTTACATAATTTATCATTATAAACTATTTTAAACAAAAAAAGGACGTTTCTTCTGGACGTTTGGCTGTTGAATGGGTGATAGGGATATAAAAATTCCGTCCGAGTCAACGAACCACCGCCGAGGTAAAAGATGTTTAAAAAGTAAAAAGAAAAAAGTTTAATCGATTGTCAGTGTCAGTCTGTGTGTGACTTACCGTCAAAAGAACTCCATGCTCGTCTGTCCTTGTCTATTCTACATTCTCTAAACTCTATCGAATGAAGAATATTTTTGCTCATGGACGAACTGCGCATTATTTAATTGATTTATATTTATTAGCTAACAAAACGTATGACGCGTGGACTTCAAATTGTACGGCAGTAATTATATAATCAATAATTAATAATGCAAAACAAAATGACGTGAAACTTACGTATATATTTACTTTGGTAATAACCTGATATAAAATACGTCTCTTTAAAGTAGTTTTTTCTTTAAGATCAGAATTAATATTGTCCTAGTTTGTATACTACTTATGCAGCGGACCACGTCCTCTAAATAACTGAAATAAAGAACAGACATAAAGGTTTCATGTAAACAAAAATGACTTATTTTTAGTTTTTCCTGTAAGTTAACACTGTTAGTATGGACGTTGCAAATTGCTTAACGACAGCTTAAAAAACATGCCTTTAAGTTATAGTCGCTGAAAGCGGCTCTCTAGTTCGGCTTTGAGAAAGGTCGGTACAGAAAACTCGCTCTAAGCCCAGAAAAACAATTTCATTAAAACAAAAGGTTCTTTTAAAAGAAATTGAATTGTTACCTTTTCACATGTTAAGTGGGTAGCCTATGTGAATTTAAAAAAGAAATCTAAATAATCTACAGGCAGAAGTCAAAACACGATTAGTCTTCAAGGCTTTTCCTCTGTGAACCAATTTTCTCAATCATCTCATCTTTTATAATCTACTGTTTTCAATAAAATATTGCTAAAATGATAATAGCTTTATGCCATAATCCATAGACAATTATCTCATGTGGTACAAAAAATGCTCGTCAAGTTGTGTTTAATTAAGATAAAACAAACATATGTGCTTGATATTTAAAAACTCGACATATTTTATATGAAAATTCATTTACGAACAAACACATTGCAAAGTGGGCGTCAATTTCTAGCGGCTAGAGATATTAATAAAAATAAATGATATCAATTTTGTAAGTATATTTTTGATTTAATAACATCGTAATATGATTGTGTTTGTCTGATTCACTTATAATTTACAGATAAAACAATATGGACGAGATTTCAGAACACACACCTTCCTTGTGGGCTAATGATGGTATGTATTTATCGCGTTAATAGTAATCCCACCAAAAACATAAAATGTAAAAAAGGGGGAGCCGAGTTCAAAACAGAAATTGTGCTTTGCTTCGCCGTAAAAAGAATGGAGATCTAAATGAGTGCCATGCAAAATCCAAGTATGTATTTACAGGAACAAAAAAATATTATGAACAAGTAATAAAGTCTATTTTTTTTGCTATATTGGATATGTACAACGAATTATGACGTCGGCTATATTTGACTTTGCCAGGTTTCATTAAATCAGTCATTTTATAAAGTCATTCAATTCTGATAATAACTGGCCAAGCCAAATCTAACTAACTTCAAGATTTAACATTTTTTTTAAATCAGCAATTGTTAAATAGAGGACATTACTTGTTGTGTGTGTAAACGTTTCGTGTGTTTACGTTATATAGGTTTAACGTTACAGAGGGGTTAGAAAGTGGCGCAAAATGGTTCGTGTAAAGATACTCTTAGCGCTGCATAACCAGTCCTTTGCTTGTACTCGGCTTGCCACGCTGCCGCGTGTCTTGATTTTATAGTCAAAATTGTAACCTAGAATAGTTATACAATTTCCATATTTTGAGGAATGTGGAACTTGTATACTGTTCAAATTTTTACTACTTACTACTAGGCTACCTGCGTGAATAAATGATTTTTGATTTGATTTATAAGTAATGATAATGGGTCATTAAATATGTATAGATATCTATTGTACACAAAGGATTCTATCTCGTTATGAAAGGTAGAATGATTTGCTACTATGCAATATACCCTTCTGAACCGTCGCAAATTTTGAAGTATAAACTTTATAGAGACGTTGTGCACTTTTTGTAATTTGCACTTACCGCTCTCAGCAGTACTGCAGTCCCTAACTTTTTTTAATACTATAGAGAACAATTAAATAATTCAATCAATTTCATTTTAGTTATTGACTCAATATCCATATTATATTATTATACCTCATTAAGCTACGAAAAAATATACAAAAGGATACTGACTGTAGTTTTCGCGAGAAGTACACATTTAAATAAAATTCTTTAACAGGAAATGTATTAGGTAAATCATTTACAATTTATTTTAACTATAGTACGAAACTACAGCGAAAATCCCCACTTACCACGGCATTTTAAACCGCCGAAAGTATTTAATTTAATTGCAAAACTACTCGCGTTAACTGCAGACAGTACCTTTTGAAAATGTTTTTTTGTGTAAGGTAAAGATCAGTTTTTTTTATTTTCAGAAATCTTACAGAATTGGTTTTTGATGGGCTCTCCAGTGCCACTTGGACTCTTACTAGCATCCTATTGGTATTTTGTATTGCAAGTAGGACCTTCGTATATGTCAAAGAGACCACCGTACAACCTCACTAGTGTTTTAGCGGTTTACAATGTAGTACAAGTTTTGTTTTCACTACGGCTGTTTTCAACGGTAATTGATTTCTATGTATTTAGAAAAGACCAGCGTTTGACTTTGTTTAACTAATGTAAACCTGAATGCCTGAAAAACATTTGGATCGACTACTAGTCTTAATTGTACTCTGTTGGTCATTTTCGAACGTTTAAAACGGTTTAAAAGAGGAACCAAGTTTGTGTAGGACAATGTGGTTCCACGTTGTTTCCACGTATTTAATTGATAGAATGCTATTTATATATGTTCGAAATTACATATATTTATATGTATGTCTTTTAACATTAACTTATTACAAATTGCTTAACCAAATTTAAAAATCCTTTCAATTACAGAAATGTTTATAAATTTAAGATATTCGTCGTCTGATGAGTTGAAATGTTATTTAATTTTTTCGATTACATGTTTTCCTTCTTTGTTATATTATTATTAGTAAGCATTTTACATATTATTTTATAGTTATTATTTTCAGGGGGCTTATATTCTAGGGACTTATGGTTTTTTTCCAACTGAATGTTCAGGTGACAAATATTCCGAAGCACACCTATTGGTAAAGTTTTTGTTTTAATAGTTCACTATACTAATATATAAAGCTAAATAGTTTGTTTGTTTGATCGCGCTTATCTCAGGAACTACTGCTTCGAAATCTTCTTAGTTAGAGCATTTAAGGAGGAAGGCTATATGCTATAAAACAGCGGTACGGCATATAGGAGCGAAGAAACAGCGGAAAATTAAAAAAAAAGGGCGAAAATTATTCACCCTTATTGGTTTCCGTTGCATACTCTACGAAAACGGTTCAAAATATCTAAGATATGCATAAAAAAATGATTCGTCTTTAGATGATCAAAATTAAGATTACATTAGCTAGAAAGACGAGGCAGGGAAAACGTCGTGGTTAACAGTATAATTTATATAATATATTCTACGCGAACGAAGTCACTGACACACTAGTCATAGAAATACGTATGACAAGTTTATGAACAACGTAAAGGCACTATAAGAAATGGTAGCTTTATTTATATTTTGGGGCAGCGTCTCACTGTACTCCTATTATAAAACTCTAGGTAGATTCGAAATTGCAACCTTCTCTGCTTCAACATGAAATACATACGTTTTACATTTTCAGAGTCTAACAGGCATATACTACTTCCTATTAGTGAAGATCATAGATCTTTTGGACACAGTGTTTTTCATTCTACGCAAGAAGAACAACCAGGCCAGCTTCTTGCACATATACCATCATTCCTCCATGATAATACTGACGTGGTTAAGCTTGAAGCATGAAGGAAATGTGGTGTCTATAGTATTTATAGGTACTTTGAACTCTCTCGTTCATGTCGTTATGTACACTTACTACACGTTGTCCGCGTACCCACAATTTACTAAATATTTGTGGTGGAAGAAATATTTAACAAAGTTTCAATTGGTGAGTACTTAGTAATTTTAGAACTTTTAAAATAAAACACTTTAACGGTTTAAAACGCGATATATTAGTTAAACTTATTTGAAAAATGATTTTTAACTTCGGCCCGACGTTTCGAAAGCTTTGCAGCAGCCGTGGTCACGGGGTAACTAAAGATGGAGGATGTCTCTGACGTCAAAGTAAAAAATTGGTACGCTAGCGCCATCTGTTCCGTCCAAGTTGGTATTTGGCGAAACTCGCCGGGTCCTTACAGAATTTACTAACGGTATCTTCGCGTTTGCCGGTATGCTATTTATTGGGATCCAAAGTTTTCTAATATGGGATCCCACGTGTTTGATAATTTGAGGCCGTCCTCCCTATTCCCTATTCACCGATATTTCAAAAATGCCTAAAATTATCAAACACGTGGGTTAAAGTGTTTTATTTAAATGTGTACTACTCGCGTAAACTACAGAATTTAATTGTAGAACTTTTTCTTGCTAAGAAAAACATCCTCCGTTTTTAAACCACCGAATCACGGAAGCGATCAACATAGTTAATCTTTATAATATCGATTTCATGAGTCGTCTTCAATTAATTCTAGAGCAATATTTTAAGGGCTACATCTTGCAATGTACTTGTAACGGGTTTGATACCCTCCGGCGTAACATGTTTCGGAACACAATTAAACATGTTCAGGATTGATCTGGAAATACTGGATGGAAGGATAAAAAAAACAATAACGGTCACATGAACCAAACGTTAACTTTGTGTTTCGGTGTTAGTATTTCAGAATTTCCATAACCCTTATAGGTCAACAGCATATCTGCAGTCTTTGAACGCTCGTCACGTGAACTCCACGCTTGTCTGTGCTCTGTAATTTCAGAATTCAAATGACTTTAAGCTTTCAGATATTGAAAAGACTGGCACCAGATTACTGATAATCTTTATTTTTTAGGCCCAATTCGTAATACTCATCGCTCAGTTGGTGTTAGAGTACAAGTTCGCGACATGCAAACCCTCCTACATTCTAGTGACAACTATAACCCTGAATTTAGTACTTTTAATATATTTGTTCAGTATTTTTTACATAAAGACATACACAACTAAAGTTAAAACAAACAAGACAGAGAAGAAATCAGATGACGAAGTTTTACTGGAAAGATTATTACCAGATGATTGACAATTACAATAACACAAAAGACTTTAAATATGATATAGAATATTTAGAATATTAACTAGTAATTAATAAGATGTATTTATTAACTATTTAAACAATATAAATTAGGTGTGTATTAATAAAAAAAATGTTTTTTTAATTGTATTTCATATATTGACTGCCTCTGTAAGTAAACGGTTAAGCATGTTGCTTAGCATTGTGTTAAAGTCCTTGGTTCGAATACTTACACTAACTACACTAAATACACTTTGATAAAAAGTGAAAACATTTATTTTGCCCCCCCAAAAATTTTATTTTTATCATTAAAAATATTATTTATTTTATAAATAGTCCGATCCTTACTCGTTACCAAAATTGATTGCAAAAGAAGAAAAAAATATGGAAATCATAATACAATTCATACCTCAAATGGGGCAATGATTAGGCAGACAAACAAACAGATTGTATACCTCTTTAATAATAATTAGAATCCTGATTCATTTTTTAAGCAAATACCCAAGACAGAGAATGTGCGTGAAATATTTTTCTGGGGTACTTATAATGGATTTATTGCTTAGCATATACATATTATGAGTATCTAATGGCAGCAATGTATGGCTAACAATCAACGGGTAGTCGGTTCGAAACCCACTGGGTCAAATTTTTTTCTAATAGATTTATACTTTTTCTAAAACATGTTGTACTTCGTTTGGAAGTCTGGATACTAAATGGGTGGTAGTAACATCGAAATTCCGCTCGAGCCACGAACAACTGTCAACAGATAAATTAACTGTGAATTTCAGTCGCGTTTCGGTTTGAGTCTATGAATTTCCGAGAATCCAAAGTCAAAATAGGTAGACAGAGCATGGGTATTTCACATCCATCAAGTCAGCCCTTTGCTTGTCTGTTCTCCTCTATAAAAAAAAACCTTCTCTAAAAGTAAATTAAATTAGACATTCGTTTATATATTTTATGTCACCACTTAATCTTTAGAAAGAGACCGCCTTAAATGCATATGACTGTTTTTTTTTTGTTTCGTTCGTATGCGTTTAGGCATGTCTTGGGTTCCAATCTCAAATATCGAAACCAATAAATTGCTTCGGTCGGCCAGTGCACTAAAGTTCGATAAACTACTTGTCTGTAAACAGTATAGATAAATAAAACAGACAACAACAGGCCTACAGTCACAAGGGGGAAACAGACATTTTTGTTACTAGCTCCAGAATACCGTTTTGCCGATCTGGTAGATCAACTATATCTCATTATAGGATGCTAAGGTCCTAATATATATTTAAGGTTAGACTTTAATCTAGAATAAGTTATGACCCGAGGTTTTTCCGTCAATACTTAGGGGGGTAAGTAATACCTTAAAACAAAAGGCTCGACCAATTCAGGCTGGCGCGTCACCCGCCATGTCCTTTTTAGTATTACCTTAATAATTAATTATTCTTGTAAATCTCCATCTACACGGTTGCCCGGACAAAATGTTTTTAGTGGTGAGGCCACCGTGTTTTTGGATTTAAGCTATTATGGCCACCCTAAACATTAGCGCAAAAATTTCTAACTGATTAATTCTAAATTGCCTCATTTTTTTGAGTTAACCCAACATATCATAATCGGTTTAAGACTGACGTTATATCGCTTGTACTTCTACATGAATATAATGACGTTTTTTCATATTATTTTATTATTAAAATAAACACGGTAATTAATTTTTAATAGATTAAATTTTTGCGCTCAGTTTTTGTAAACTTTTTATAAGCTGTGTAGAATTAACCTTGCAGAACTCTCTTAGTGATAAAGTAAGATTTTTATAATTATTTCCGTACTTATTTTACACCCAAAAACAGTTTAAAGTTCTTTGGTTAGCTAGTTAGATCGGCGGACTCTACGCGTCAGTGTTCTATATTCTAAGAAACTCAGACCACACTCAAATACTGAGTCGGCAAGTAGACGATAAGCGCATCCGTTTCACGGAGGTGTCTTATTCCAGCTTTAGATTTAAAATTATAATTAAGTTAGTCTTAGATACACTCTTGTAGAGAATAAACGTTTCAAACTTAAACCATTTTTTTTTAAAAAACCATCTGGCTCCCTCACAACTTGACGGCTTGTGTTTTTGTTTTTGTTTGTTTGCATTGTTTATCAACCTGAAAAATAAAACGATATTTTTGCAGATTGTCTGCTTTATAAGTACAGGTTTTGTATATACGAGTAGGTAAACATATTATTTAACAATTAATAAGTATATTTTGGAACAAATAGCGGGGACAATGTGTCAGAAGAACAGCAGCTCGTTTTTTAATAAGGAAACTGCTAATATTATTGTATACTTCAGTGTTTAAACATAATTTAATAAAGAAGAAGAATCAGTATATAGTTACTACTCCGGTGTATATATATAAAAAATATAAGACATAGAAATAAGTGTGTAAAATAGATAGTCATATATATAACATATCGGATACGTGTGGTAGGAATACCGAAATTAAGTCCGAATCACAAACCACCGTCAATAGAAAAAGCCAGTGGCGTAGCTATCGTAGGGCGAGGTGGTGGAATGCACCAGGGTCCCAGAATTTGAGGGCCCTCTACCTCATCTTTGAAAAGATATAAGCGTAAAAGAAAGGGATTGTTTTAACGTATTTGAATAAACTAGTTTTGTTTCTTTGAAAAGTTTAATATTTTTTTTTACATGTAAATGCACATGAAGGCACTATATACTATATTTTCGACTGGGGCGGGACTTGGACCGGCATCGGCAACGTGCCGTGCTGTTGCTCTGACTAGGTAGCTCAATTGGTAGAGCAATAGCACGGAACGCTGACGATGTCAGTTCAAATCCTATCGAATCGAAAATTTTTTCAATTTATTTTAGATTTTTAAAGTATACCTATAGTTTTGTTGCTCTTCATAATGTTGTTATTTATAATTTAAAAGGTTGATTTAATTCAAGCTAGGCTGAAAAAGGGGATAAGGGCCCGATTCTTTCTTACGCTCTAGGATTAGGTAGACCGGGGTCCTTGTCAACCTAGCTACGCTACTGGAAAAAGCCCTGAAGTTTACTAGCGTTCAGTCTGTGCGTTTTTTAAATATCCAAAGCCAAGATAGTTTCTTAATATGATATATGGCTAAGGTAATTCACCTTCCACCAAAAGAACCCTGCTCGTCTGTCCTTCTCGTTCATGAAGAAACATGTTTTCTAGAATATTAAAGTACCGTCTCATCTAACTTTCAAACACAATCGATCTAGTCGTCATTGGCCTAAATTGAGATATTAACATCGAATCGCTTTTGATACAATGTCATTACCCTTTACACAAAGCAAGGTAGTTCATTGACCTACGCCCTGACTGAAAAATAGAAACGACCCGACTGACCTATTGTCTGCAATCAAAATACACCGGGAGATATTCTTACGAAGTTTTACTGGAGTCTTTAGAGGGTGACAGGCAAGCGTGGGGGATAGTTCACCATATAACGTCTAAACAAATTGTGATGTCGACCTATTTTGGCTTTGGATTTGGAAATCTACAGGTCGAAACTGAAACGCGTGTCCCTAGGTCCCAGCTTCGAATCTCAGGGAAACAATAGATTGTTGCGGTCGGGCAGGCACATGTCCGTGGCTCCACGGCAGAAGCCACTGACAATACATAAAAATCACGAACTGAAAAATTAAAAAGAGAGATATGTGGTTTAGCTTACGCAATCATATTAATAATGTATTATTTATACAACCGCATAGCTTTGCTTAACCCGCTAAAGGTCGTCTGCATAAGACGAGAAAAGACATTCAGAAATTTTGAGACGCGAGTATGTACCTACTACCGCGTGGGGCTTATAGTATATTTATAAAAAGCAAGGAAATATAGTAATTAATAAATTATATAATCCCCAAGTGCTTATACATTAAAAATGGATTATAAAGAAAAAAAATTAACGACTCCGATTTCCACCGGCATCAGCAAACGATGCGAGTCTTTTTTTTTTTTTTAATATTTATCGACCCACCAACCCCCCCGCCCCCAAATCAACCAACCGCCAAAAAATATGAAATAAGAAACTTTTAACGGTTTAAAATTTGAAATATATTAACGTTAAGTCACGTCACATTAAAGCATCCAAAACGTTGGGTCGTAGTAAAGTTAAATTATATTTCACGTTTTAAACTGTCAAAAGTGTACCTCGACTATTCAACAAAGAAAGATATGTATGTATATTTAACAAATGACGTTTTTCATAAGTTTTTAATTACTTAAGATCGAAAAGTTACTACAATGACAAATAAAACTAATGACTAGAATCTGGATCGTTTAGTTTTGTGGAAAATTAATTCGCAATTTTGTAGTTTATAATTATCTTGGATCATCGTAATGCATATTATATAATACCTCGTAACCTTAATTTTATTTTACTAACTTAAGCTTAGCGACTAAATAAAGAATTAATTAAATAATACATTTTCTTGTTATAATTTAACGTTTGGTTTAGTTATTACAAAAAAGTTCTCATCTTCTCCAAGTTGACTCCAGGTACACTTATGTATAGTTTGGTAATAGGTAATGTTCCAAAAATCAGATATGATGAAATATCAACAAGAGTAAAAATTAATTTTTATCCCTTATTCCCATGTTTTGTAAGATTAGAGCTTTTTTGTGATACCTTAAGGCCTATAATGGGACTATATCAATGGAAAAGGCACTTAATACATCTTTAAAAATTATAATATTATATTTACATGGTTTATTTAAAGAGTGACCACAATCCTCAACAGGAAAACACGGTTGTGTTAAACACATATTGATTCTTTTCTAGCTTACCACTCACTGCTTACTACAGTAAAATACATCTCGGATTAGTGCAAGAGATCCGGGGTTCATATCCCCACGAAGTTTCTCTTGGCAGAGTTAGCGGATATGACGGGCCTGAGCTTTACAGCAATTTAATGCTGATAATCCGAGTCACAGGTTCGATTATCACCGGGAAGTTATTTAAAAAAATATTTTTTAAACATTTTCGAAATGAAAATTAGGATATTGAATGGATAGGATTGTCGAAATGTCATGCTGGTCACGAACCGGCGACCACAGATGAAAAAGCCAAAAGACCCGACAGCGCATCTTGTTCCGAGGTTGTATTAAAGGACTGTTATATTTATACTTTGAATAACTAAACCCCATCTTCGTCGGTCTTTCTTTTTATTAGAAAAGACCAATTATTATTTATCACAATTATTTTAGTTACACCACAAATAAATTTAAAAAAAAGTGAAAGCCCGTTTCCCCCTCGTGGGGCACGGGGCGAACACATTTCCGTGTCCGTTTCATTGATCCTCTTTTTCTTCTTTTAACGGGCAAGTACTTGATCAGACTTCTGTGCCCTGCCTGACCGAAACAAGTTTTTTTATGTTTCCTTGGGATTCGAACCCAGGACCTCTCGCGCTCAACGCCAGGCAATACGTTTAACCATTTGGCTACAGGGGCGGTCACACAAATACATACAGACTTAGAATTAAGTTTTTTGTGGTAACTTTTTATTTTATAAGGATTAAATACTCAGAATTCTATGAAATGATTCTATTACGTCCTTGTAACAGGATTAAAAATTGATTACAATAAATTTTAATTTAGAGTTTGAAATAATAATTATTTATATAAAACACCTTTAATGGTGTAAATCGTGAAATGCTAACTTATTTACAATTGATTTTAACTACGGCCCGGCATTTTTGGTGCTTTTCAACAGCCGTGGTCTGTAGGGGATTGTCCTTAATATCTAAGTCACATCTGCTACGCTAACGCCATCTATTTCGTTGTACTTAGTATTTAGCGAAACTGACTGGGTCACACTTTGCCCAACGGTAAATATATATGTACACTAATGTTGCGTATATGTATGTACTCTTTAGTATTTTTGTTTATTTATATTTTGTTTATTTTCTGAGAGGCGACATAGGAGGGATATAATAAAGAGAGAATAAAACCCTCCACAGAAAAAAAGAAATTGTAAAACAAATCGGAAATAATTATAACTATAAATGTTCACGTCAAAAGTTATAGTCCAAATTATGTACCTAAGATATAGGAAGGACTGTTAGAATTAACAGAGCTTATAAAGACGGCCTAAACCTAGACGCATGTACCACTTTAAGGCTTACACCTGGGTTTCTTAAAATTAATGTCGTAATTTATCTTTCCACTCGTTCGTACCCGCTATTTACATACATTAATTTCATTGTTCAATTCAAAACTGTACATAATAGAGTTTTTAAGGGAAAAAGGTATTTTTTAATTTTTATATGTACTACTGTGTGTACTTACACAACAATAATATTATTCGAGAAGCATAACGCCCGTCTAACCTATTGTAGTTAAATTGATCATAGGTACCTCGTTGAGAGTGTGTTGTTTTACCCTGTCGATACTAATATATATAGGTGAAGAGTTTGTTTGTTTGAACGCGCTTATCTCGGCATCCACTGGTTAGAATTAAAGATTTTTGTGTCGGTTGAAGTATCTATCGGGGAAGGCTATATATAGGCTATAAAATATCGCACTAGAGCTAATAAGAAGGAAGAAACTTAAGATATTGTTCAATCTAGTGGGTCTCCTTAGATGGAGAGATCCTAAATTATCTTGCAAGAACGATGGAACACGACCGACGTGTTGGCTAACAGCTTACATTTAAGAGTTGAACAGAAGGTTCAACGACAAAATTTTGATCCCCAAAATAACTATTCTACGCGGATGTAGTGGCTGACACAGCTAGTATACATTTATACATACATACCTACAAATTTTAATTGACTAACAGTTCTGGTATGTGCGTACGCGAGTATGTTTAGTTTGTAAAAAGACGAATAAACGTGGTAATTGATAATTAAATATTAGTAAAAGGTAAATACTGTCTATAGTTTACGCGAGTAGTACACATTTAAATAAAAAGGGATAACGTGAAAATCAGTTTTTTTACCATTCTCTAAGGTTACAGCCACAACCTTTACCAACATGCCTTCTGCCCTTGATTTTTCTCCATTATAATAAGCTGGAGATAGTAGCCGTCATGGTTACGAAGGAGATCCAGGTATATGTCTTTATCTTGCTTGACAGTCCATAACAGTTATTCTTTGCAAATGCGTTGAAGGACCGTATCATTGGATATTCTATGGATCCAACTGATACGAACTATGCAACAATAGCACTAGATCTCCAATGCTGCTAATGCTGCAAATAATGACAATGATGTAATTCCAATCATACAAACACGAGGTCCAGAATGGCTCATTAACTAAGACTACCTGTGTCAGCGTCTTCGTCCGCGTATAGTTACTTTGGTCATCAAAATTTGTTTTTGCAAACACACGACGCAAAAGTTCTTGCAAGCTAATAAGATAAAAATCTTAAAAAATGTTGCGGACATTGTATAGGTAACTTAGAGGTGAATCATTCTTTCATTCATATTTATTGCGTATATTGAACCGTTTTTGTAACGCAAGCAACAGAAACCCTTATAGGTGAATAACTTCCCCGTTTCTTCCACAGTTTTTCACTGTTTCTTCGCTCCTATTCGTTGCAACGTGATGTTTCAAGCCTTCCTTGATAAATGCTCTAACCAATGCAAAATATTGTTTTAATTCAAACAAGTAGTTCCCGAGATTAGCGCGTTTAAACAAACTCTTCGGCTTTGTGTATTAGTATAGATTGTGATTTTTATTTAAAAAAAGTAAACATATATGTATACGTACATGTAATACACTAACGATTATTGCGTACAACCACTTCCTTATATTATAATAATGATAATAATATAAAACAAACAAAGAAAAAAATGTTAAGTTTTATCTTTCAATAAATAATATTATTTACTGAAAATAAGAATAAAAAACATAATCACAATATAATCAAAAATAAACTCCAAATTTTAAAAGAGTGTCATAAACCATTAGCATTATTTTTAACAGTTACATATGGAGGAAACATCTTTCTTTGTTTTTACAAAAGTTTTTAATTAAACAAAATATATTATATCCGTCTAATTATAGTTTGAATACTGTATTTCCTCCTTATTAACTTTAAACTCATTACATCTGATTACCACGCTTGTCATCAGTGGAGCATTGCTGAAAATCGCTGCAGCAAATCTGTTGTTGCAGCAACAGCTGACTGATGTCCTTCCACAGTAAAGTACTATCTTTACTGTATAGCCATTTATGTATTTATTAAATCATTGTATAATTTCTATATGTATATTATTTTTATGTTGTTTCGATTCATTCATAGACTTCCAGTACGACCGGTCGTTCGCTAGTTGAATCCAGCGTTTCCCTGCTACCTTGACCAGGTCGTCGTTTCACCAGGTAGGAGGTCGTCCAGAGTTTTGACGTCCGGTTTCACTCCAGAACCTTTTCTTCTTCTTCTTTTCTTCTACTACGCCTCTCCCCATTCTTGATTCGAACACGCAGGGTAACTCCTAGCATAGCCCTTTCCATCGCACGATGAGCGACGCGTAGTCTGTTACCGTACGTTATCAGTGGCAACACACACTGCTGAACACTTTATGTTCTTTAGTGTTGATTAAATCATTTTAATTTGAATTAATAATATATTTTTGTCCTTTTTATATTGCATTTATAAATGCAAGATAATGACGACGTGTGAGTGTTACTACTCTAAAATTAGTTTCAGTTACCACTAGCACATTTATCAATGTTGTACATATGCCGAGACTATGTTACAACTAAGGATGTTTTAGAACTTCAGCAAGATAAAAAAATCTCTAAATACCAACTACGACGAAACAGGAGGCGCTAGCGTAGCAGATTTGACATTGACATTATACACCCTCCATCTTCAGTCCCCCCGTGACCACAAATGCCGGAAAGCATCCAAAACGTCGAACCGTAGTTAAAAAAACCGGAGTGAAATTCGTGTTTTAAACCACTAAAAATGTTTTATAAAAAATAACTAGTATATTTTGTATATATTTTTTTAATAATAGACGAGGACAGATATTCACTTGATGGTAGGTGATATACTCCAGCCTATAGCATCACAACAAGATGTGTTGTCGACCTATTTTGGCTTTGGATATTCGAATATCCACAGACTGTAACCGAAATGTGATAAAGCTTTATGGCTTTTTTATCTGTGTACGGTGGTTCGTGACTCGGACAGAATTTCTATATTCCTACCACCCACTTAATATCCAGGTTTTTTGTTTCAGAAAAAATATAAATAGTAAAATTAGAAACATCTTGAACCTGGTGGGGATCGAACTCCACATTTTTTACCCACATTAGCCATACATTGCTACCGTTGGACCAACGGAGCTCGTCAAATTCAGCCATTATTATTTAAACGATATCTTTTATTTTAAATAATTCCACTTTACACAGGCAGACTACGAACCCATTGCGATCGGTGCTGGTCTACCAACTGACATCGCAGCTTGGTAATGTCGTCCATTTTTTTATATCTAAAATACGTCTTTAATTTACATTTTTTATAGGTGTTTGAAAAGATAATATTGATTTTATTCCAAAATCGCTGACGCTAACTTATAATTTTGTCAAAATTCGAACGACATTGAACGCTTTGTCTGCTATTGGTACTATACCTATTTTGTACATAAATAAGACACTTTTCTCACTAACGCTACAAATCTCAACAAACCGCGGGCGCGCGCGCATCAAACGATTTTTCGTGAATATTATGTGCTTGTGATCTTAACGCGTCGCAATGTAAGTTACCAGATCATTGTGGATGTATTTTTCGTTAAATTAAATATAAAATATTTATCAATATATTTTTTAAACATATTTAATTTTTCCATATTTTGTAAATAAAAGTTACGTATTACGATTTTAATAGTTCAATTTTAGTATGTGCTAAATGTAACCAATACGTTATGAGTTCGTTTTTCAGCAAATCAAACATGTGAATAAATTGAATATACATTTTTCAAAAGCATTGGCACCCACCTGGAAAATTATTAAAAAAAATAAAAAAAAAGTGATCGACATATGAAAAAGTGAAGTAGACACATTTTGATCGCAGTCTGTGAATTTTCTAATTTATAAAGAAAAGTAAAAGCTGACAGCGCATTTTATATACTGTTTAAAAAAATATTTTTTATCAATTACAATATACGCGTGTTTTCATCCTCTATCATAAAAAAATCTCTTGTCAAATTTAGATTAAATATAAATGCAATCATTGTTAAATAAGAATTTACTTCCCACGATCTTAATTATCGTAAATTTAAACATTCTAGAAAATAAATAAATTAAGTATTAATTTTATTTTCAAATTCAAATTCAAAACGTTTTAAATTTACTCAAAGAATAAGGTTTCAATTGTTCACCAAAGAAGCTATTATACAATATTATACCGTTTAATTTGTCTGTTTGTTCATTCAAGTATTGCTAATATGGAACGATATGCAGTTCAGTGATAATTTAAATAAAGTGAATAGATTTAGACTAGTATTTATTCTGTACGTATAGTAATGACGCATTTTTAAATACAAAAAAGATAGTATTAACTAGTTTTGATTTCTTTTTGTATACGCATAACTTCTGTAAGTTAGAGAATAGACCTAAAAACATTCATTGGATATAGGTATCGTAGATAAACATTAAAGCCAAAATAACTGCTCTATTTCATAGTTGGTATTACTTTAAACAAATTGAAAAGAAACTGATTCGTTCTTTTCGAAAGTAAAATTGGAATACAATTTACTCTGATTCGAAACAGCATTTACGTAATTCTATTATATTTAAGTATCAGGGAATATTAAATCTTTATATTTACAAGGTCATTGAGTAGTTCTTAATCATCGTCATGTATCGTGTCGTTTTGGCGTAACAGAGTTACAAACATTGATCTATACTATACGTTATGAAACAGTTCAATAAAAAAAATGTCGCCGATGGGAATCGATCCCGTAACTTGTTTAAGCAGTGCTGATAACGTGCTGTTGATCGATATATTCTTTTAAGTACTCATTGACAAAGTAAAAGTTTTCATTAAAATTGAATCAGGGTTGCATACTTGTGAAGTATGTGGCAAGTGTTTGAGTCCGTTTAATTAATCAATTTAATTACATATTATGCTCTGGTCTACCTTCATTTTCCCGGGATTCAAATTTAGAACCTCACGCGCCTAATTATTGTTACAATTAAGCCATCAATATTGTATAGTTTTAATTCGATTTTAAAATGCGTTACAAAAAGTTATTCTAAATGTTTCCCTTATCAGTACAAAATTATCGATCTAGATAAGAACTGTGTTATCCAACTGCATTGTTTGAATATACTGATAAGCCTGAGAAAGTAATTTTAATATAAAACTTGCCAACTGCGTCTGGACCCACGTACGACGGGTTCCGCTACCATTGGCTAGGTTAAAAACATATATAGATATTCATATATATGCTAATGATATGATAATGCTTCAAGTGTAGCATACATTTGAAGAATTGTATTTATTTATTGATATCAAGTATAAAGGGCAAAAAAATACTTTTTTTATTCCTTGTACAGCGTATAAAAAAGTATCTGTCTGTTTTGTTTTACAGACTTGTAAAACGGGTAAAAATAATAAGTTACATCATACACATATAACAAAATTTAAAATGAAATGAATTTCGTGGTTTAAGTAGCCAACGCAAATGTAACACTTCAAAGAAGTCGCTTTCAACTGTTTAAAACTGTAAATTTTCAGAAACGCTGTGACTTATAAATACCTAAATAATTAGACTCGCGTTAAATCCAATAAAAAAAATGTAGAATAAAAGCTTTACTTTAACACGAGTAAAGCAAACTTAAATCAAGCCGTTTAAACTTTAGGAATACAAAATTTTATAGATTTGGTATTTTATTCTACATCGCGTCGTTTGGGATGCTTTGCAGCAGCTTGTGATCACCTACCCGCACTGCATTGGTGTGGTGGGTCGATGAATTTTTTCTCTCTCGCTTATGAGAGACCTTTACCAATTTATGGACTTTATTGGGTCGAAACAAAGTATGGAATCTTAATAGCACAGTTCATTAACACTATTAATTTTATTTTAATTGCTTTTTTAATAAGTCAAAACGGTCTGATTGATCTACAGTACAGTTGACGCGGTTAGCGCAATAAAGTCGTTAAAAATTGAACAGTTAAACATTTTTCTTTAATATTTCTGTAAAAAAATATAATTAACCTAATATTTTTTGTTAAAAAATAATCCAAATTTACGTAATCCTTTGTGAGTGGACGTCTGAACAAAACGTAGGTAACGCTTTAGTTTAGTAATTTAATTATTTAAATGAGAAACATTATAAAGTAATGATTACAATTCTCTGCATTTTTATTTTATTGACATGTTATGATATAAATCGTAAACTAACATTTGTAATGTTAACGTATTGTCAATTTCTTATTATATAATTAATATTTTGTTAAGGGGACTATATTGGCCTTCCTATAGTTATTTACGCGGAATTAGCCAGCCGACAATTTTATTTATATTAAAAGCAAATTACAAATAACAAAGATATCGTAAATCACTTTCGTAATGGCCAGAAATACTGCTTCTCTTTATATCAAAGTTTACAATAAACGTATTAAGATATATTTTTTAAGAATTCAATTTCTAAGATGAATTTGTTAGAAAATAGAGTTTGTCTTTCTTCTTTTTCAGACAGATTACAAAATGAACAGCACTTTTATTTTGCGTTCTCCTGCGTGGGATGTCACTAAAGGAAAATGTAAGTACTATAACATATTAGTAATCTATCACTATCAGTTTCAATTACTCTAACAAAAGAAAAATGGCGGAAGAGTTTCGCATAAAATAATAAAAAAAAATTGTCTTCTAGGACAGTAGCATCAAATTCAAAAAAATTTAATACTTCCTTTCTGAGAAAAAATAAATTATATGACACATACTACCTAAATTAAATTAAACACTTCAAACGGTTTAAAACGCGAGATAAGTTAACTTATTTTTAGAACACGGCGCGACGACAGTTAAAAGTGTTTTATTTAAATTAAATATGTTGTAATGTTTTATTTTATTTAATTTGAACGATACGTATTACACAATTAATACAAATACTTGAAAAACGGTATTTTATCATCGTTGTTCTTCTTGTTGATAATCAACAATTTCGCCATTCATGTAAATCGAAATTGTTGATTATCGCCAAGATACGAACTTACGTTCAAAGTTCGCGTTTAACCACTGTACCAGCTATATACGTAAATACTGTCTGTAGTTTACGCGAGAAGTACACATTTAAATACCTACCGCAGACATACCTCTTACTGAACGACTTGGACAGTAATACGCACACCTAAAGACGAAGTCAGATATTTTAAAGCAATAATTGTTAAGTACCAAACCGACATAAACCAAAAACGGTTCTTTACCGGTTTAAATATTGTAAAATAAAATTATAATGTAAAAAAGTTAAATAAAATAAATAAATAAAATAAAATAAAACGCTTTAACGGTTTAAAACGCGATATATTTTAGTTAAACTTATTTGAAAAGAGTTAGTTAATAACTTTCAAACAAGCTTAACTAAAATATATTGCGTTTTAAACCGTTAAAGCGTTTTATTTTAATGTGTACTACTCGCGTAAACTACAGACAGTATTTACGTATATAGTTATTGTTTTATTTAAAAAGGTATATGCGCAATGGACGGGACAACAGGCGTAAGAACATCAATATTCAGTGGTAGAGTAAAGAGAAAGAGATTTTTAAATATGTAAACCTGTTGACGTAGGCATTAATAATTAGCACATTTTTTATGACGTGGGTCATGATTACAAGCAATGGTAAACATTCAATAATCATCCTAAACAAATAAAAAATAAACAGCGTTTTGCTCGCGTATATAATTTTACTATTGACCCAACAGTGTAGGCTAAATAGAACTTTGTAAACAGCGATTATGTGTAAAGAACACATAGGTGTAAAAATATTAATCACCTGCCAATATCGCTAAGTGCAAGACAACATACAGTTACAAAGTCAGAATAAAAGTTTATACAATGAATTTTGTCTGTAATTTAATACTCATCTAGATAAGACACGTTCGAGAATTAGAAATACAAAATATAAATCTCTCTTTTGACTGAAACTGTTGTATACTGTCTATAGTTTACGCGAGTAGTACACATTTAACTAAAACACTTTAACGGTTTAAAACGCGATATATTAGTCTCCCCGTGACCACGGCTGCTGCAAAGCATCCGAAACGTCGGGCCGAAGTTAAAAATCATTTTTAAATAAGTTTAACTAATATATCGCGTTTTAAACCGTTAAAGTGTTTTATTTGAATGAAGCAGTTGTGTTTAATTAATGGACTACAAAAAGTAGTTTTTCATTCGATTCGAATAAGAAATAATTTAGTAAATATACTTTTAATATAATTTTGAATTGCGCATGTAGGACAATGATTGCCTGAATTTTGCCCGAGTAGTACACGTTTAACACACTTTTAAAGTTTTAAAAAGGTTTATTTATTTCAATATATATGAATGTATTTATAGAAAATATAATAAAAACTGACTTCGTAATGCGGAACTAAGTTCAAAATTAACTTATAAAAATAATTTAGTAAATTCTGTTAAACTAAATTACAATACGTTTTTTAAATTACTTGTACTTTTCTATATATTTCTTACTGTTTGAAGTTTGTTCTATTTTGTTAAACAATGTTTTTTTTATAACTCACACATGTGAACACGAATATTATCTTTCGTGAGTAGCATTAAATAAAACAAATTCCAGTGATTAACATAGCTATGTGGTACTTTGGTGCTACTTTTCAGATGAAGAGATCAACTTGCTCCCATTGATGGCGACTCCTGGTCCCATGCTGATGATATTAGCGACATATTTACTCTTCGTGCTAAAAATTGGGCCAACACTTATGACCAAGAGAGAGCCATACAAGCTAAAAGTTGTGCTATTGCTCTACAACGCGTTTCAAGTCATCCTATCTGTTTATATGGTTTACACGGTACGAACATTGAAAAAATCTTATAATAAACAAATACAAAAAAAACAATGGAATGAAAAAAACAAAAATGCCTCCACGGCAATTAAACGTCCATGATATTATATAAAAATCGAAAATAAATTGCAAAAATTTCGCCGACACCGGAGGAATTAAACCGGCGTCAGCTTTCCGTGCTGTTGCTCCATCAATTTATTATTTTAAAAAGGTCTCGTACAATAACATTGAAAAATAATGTTTTCAAAACGTTAGAACTTTGTAATTTCATCTTCAATGCTTTCCTTGAACTGCAAAGCATAAGACATTGAGCCTTAGTACGCAAGTGTTAAAGTTGAAATTACACTGCGCGAGAGGTGCATGTATCAATAAGTTGAAAAAATTCGACGAATTGAGGTCTCGTGCTCAATTGGTAGAGCAACAGCACGGAAAGCTGACGATGCCGGTTCAAGTCCTGCCCAAAATTTTTTCAATTTATTTTCGATTTTTAAATTATATAGTGCCTTTATGTGCAATAACATGTGAAAAATATTAATGTTTTCAAACGTCCATGATATTTATAAAACTCAATACGGTTGGGTTCGATTCCCGGCAAAAAAAAATAGATTGTTTCGATCTTGAATAGCAAAGGGATTCCTAACTGATCTCTTGATTTAATCGAATTTATAATACATCTCAGTAATATCCAGGGTATCAGTTACTATTGCAGGTAAAAAGTCCTGGATTCGAAGTCTGGCTGTCTTATTGACTCTGCGCCGGGCGTATCATTTATGCCACATACATACAAATTTAATTTATAGTTGACAATCGGTTAGAACAGCACGCAACGCTGGGGATATTGGCTCAAGTCCCCCCCGTGTCATACATTTTTTTACCTGAATAGATTTTTAATTTATATAATAAACTTAGCATAAATAGGATCTCAGTTTATGAAATTGTTATTATTATTTTTGTATCTCACTATGTTTTCCCTTTCAGTACTTATTGAAGATGCTCCAAAGGGGCTTCGCCCCAACCACCTGTCTTATGCATGATAAGAACGAGAGAGACAACGTACGTATAAAAACTGTGTAATATTAAATCATGCGCTGCAAAAAATCTTTAATATATTTTCTTATAAAACTATGATGCGATAGAAATAAATTATATATTTTGCAATCACGAGAAACGATGAGAAATATAATCTCCTTTTTATTACTATTAAAAAAATGTTTATTGAGCAACTAGGAAGGAATATTATAAAATACTCGTAGTTCTAACTAATACTTTTTCATTTGCGGATAGTGGTTCTTGACCCGGACGGAATTTGATGGCGGATGGTGTGAAAGTCTAATGCACGCTCACGTCTGGCAAGTGTGACGTGGGTAGTTTATTAAATCGTATAGCCGACCAGAACCACTAAACACACCACCAACCTTCTACTGTGCTTTAAGGGGGCCCTGGGAACACGTTGATTTTATATACCTACCAGACATGCAATATTCAGTTTTCCAGTCGGAGAAAAATCATAAATTCGTTAGCATGTTGAGGTGGGGTTCGACCCCATGACCCGTTGATTATCTGTCATTAACCATACATTGTTATCATAGGACCAACGTGTCTATCATATAATTATGGAAATAATTATACACAACTCTTATAAGAAAATTAAAATTCATTTTATATTCAGACAAAACATTCTGTATTTAAAACAACAGCTTAACAGCTACAAAAAATTAAATAACAAAGGAGTTTTGCTGTATATCTATAGACTATATAGGACAACAGCGCATCGTTTAACCTTCCAAAAAGTAGACCTCATGATTGCGTGTCCTCCTTTGTCATTCAAAATTTAGTTATCGTTGCTTCTATCTAGGAGTAGGCTAATATAATTATTATGAAGAGTTTGTTTGTTTGAACGCGCTAATCTCAGGAACGATTAATTCGACTTAACTAATTAACATTGTCTTGGATAGGACATTTATCGAGGAAGGCGGAGAAAAACATTCATATTTGCGGGTTTTCGTTGTGTGTGCTGAGACAACGGTTCAGATTCCAAAAAAATATATATGAAATAATAATTCGTCTGTAAGTGATCTAAAAAATGTTCGCACTAGTATATGTCTGTATATTACAAGCTAGTTGGTTTATTGGTAGCAATGACTAATCAACGCGTCCTGAGTTCGATTCCCACCGGGTCCAACATATTCCTAATCATTGGACTACTTCAGGTAATCTGAATATTAAAATTAACCTTATCTGCGAGACAGACGGGACGCGGACTACGTTTTGGGTAACCTATAATTTATAAAGATGAGGAGGTTTGCTAAACAAATTTTACGCGGCCGAAGTCGCGGGCACAGCTAGTCGATTATAAATGGGAAAAATCATTTATAATGCGTATACAAACGTCCTAATATTTTTTGAAAACAAGTTTAATGACTCACTGGGTAATATCGAGGCGGTTAAACCGAAAATGTACGCAAAGTTGACTACAAAATTACAACTTGAATTGTTTGTTTGTATAGTTGATTTTGACGCGCTTTTCTTAAAAATTTAAAAAATATATATTTATTGCATATGTTATTTGCCTAGTGTCCAAAATAAATTGAAATGAAACACTATTAACATAAAATACAATGGTTAACTTATTTTTAATTTATTTTAACTATGGCCTGACGTCTGGGATCATTGCAGCTGTCCCGAAGGACGAAATGTGGGGCCGTAATTAAAATAAGTTTAAAAACTAATATATTCAGCGTTTTAAACCGTTCAATGTGTTTTATTTTTAATACAAATAGGTGATAACTATATAAGTAAACTTAGCAATATTTTATAAGTAACACGTTTTGCTATACTAAATGTATACCAAAGATCTTTTAGTACACTACGTCATAAAGAGAGCTAACACACGTACCGAGTTTGATTAACATACGAATATTGCGACTTAATATAAATGTGAAATGTACATAAAGAAACGTTAGTAATAAAACAAATCCAACCTTGACTCTACAAATGTCATGCTTAGGAAAATAAAAAAGAACTAGTGATGCGTACTTAGACTCGAATATATTCCGTCATAGTGTCTTTCTGTGCTTGTTAGCGCGAAAGATACAATACAGCAGTTTACAGCAGGTTACAGTACAGCAGTTACACATACAGATACAAGCTCGTTGGTGGTAGCAATGGGTAATAATCAACAGGCCGTAGATTCGATCCGCCCCGGATCCAATATCTTTCTAATCAACGTATCATTTTTCTGAAACTCGTAAGCGTTCGTCTGGAAATTTGGATATTAAATGGATGGTAGCAATTCCGTCCGAGTCACGAACCACCACCACCAGATGAAAATACCGTAATGTTCAAACAAAATAGGTAGATAGAGCACCTTGTTGTTGTTATGTGGCTGGCCACCTGCCATCGAGAGAACCTCATGCTTTTCTGTTCTCTATCATAAAAAAAAGATGGATTTGTATGTAGTGGAAATGAAAACCGGATTTCAATTACCTTATCCCGTACCAACCCGTACCATTGTTAGTTTTTATAATTGTATATTTCATTCTACCTCCTGATTAATACACAGGTTGTAATCTTGAACACGGGAAGTTAAAACGTGAAAATTAATTAACATTAAGGAAATTGTTATTATCTATTATAAAGGGATTATCACCTGTAAAATACTAAATTTGTGTACACAAAATGAAAAATGCTCCTAACGCAAGCTTAACATTTTTTATCCATTCCAAAAATAGTACACCACTCCGTTAACTGAAGGTTTCTAAGACTACAAATGATGGATTGTTATTTAAATACTTCTTTTTCTGACCCCGCTGGAGGAGGAGAGGGAAATTATACATATATAGAGAGAAAAAGATAACCTTTGTAACTCAAAGAAATTATAATATATAATAGGACTTTAAGGATTTATTATTCGAGCACGTCATATAATTTTAAAATCGAAAATTTTTTCAATATATTTTCGATTTCTAATTTCTATAGTGCCTGCATGTGCAATAACGTGTGAAATATGTTAAATTTTCATAGATCTTATATTTACATATTTATACATACATTGTTTGCAGATTCTATTTGGCATTTGGCTGTACTTCGCCGCCAAAGTGACAGAACTCTTAGACACCGTGTTCTTCGTGCTCAGAAAAAAGGACAACCAGGTTACCTTCTTGCATCTGTACCACCATTCTGTGATGATGTTCGGTACATGGATGTACTTGAAATACTGGCCATCGTACACACTATACTTCATCGGCTTCCTCAACTCGCTCGTACATGTGTTCATGTACACTTACTATGGGCTGTCGGCCCTTGGCCCTAAGGTGTCCAAGTACATTTTCTGGAAGAAGCATATGACCAAATTTCAGATGGTAACTATACATCTTCTTTTCTATAAAACAAATCACAATTTATTTGATTTAAACACGGTTTATATCGAATAAAGTAAAACGCATTTAACGGTTTTAAACGCGAAATATGTACGTTATATTTTTTTTAACTACCACCCGACGTTTCGCACACTTTCCAGTAGTCCAGACTACGAAACATGAACATGTGCGATATATGGTGCGATAGAAGGGGACTGAAGATGGATCTATAATCTCAAAGTCAAATCTGCTACGCTAGCGCCATCTGTTTCATCGTAAACTCTCCAAATACCAATTACAACCAATGGGATAAGGGTAGAATTTCCTCAGCAGTCCCCTAATGACCACGGCTGCTACAAAGCATTCGAGACATTGAGTCATAGTTAAAATAGAAAAAAAATTACCTAACTACTATATATTGCGTAATAAACCCTTAAAGGTGTTTTATTTATTATTAACACGCTAGCATAAAGTACACAACTGTCGTTAGATTTTATTATAACGGATATTTATCAACAATTTTTTAAATTATTTTTATTTTCAGATTCAATTCATCTGCGTAATAATACACTACATTGTAGCCGTGAATCGAACCGAATGCCCTCCATCGAAAGGCGTCGCTCTCTTCGTAGGCTTGAATACCTTCTTCTTCTTGCTGCTCTTCCTAAACTTTTACATTCAGAGCTACAAAAGTGGATTATTCCGACTAGATGGAACCGAGGGCTGCATCAAAGCCTGTAAAAAAGATAGTGTTAGAGGAGAGAAAAGTAAGAATTCTTGAATAGTCACTACGGTACGATAATAGTAAAACAATTTAAGATATTGAAATTATTTTAGTTAATGCTAAACATGCCAAAACTACGACTATAAATCATTGTGTTACAGAAGAGAAAGAACAATGGCCTAAGGAACTACTACAATTTATCGCGAGTAACAAATCATAAATGGGGGTTTGATTTACTTTGATACATAAATACCACCCAGTATAAAAACCTCATTTAAAAAAGCCATAATTTCGCCAAAAAACATTTTTGAGGGTAGAATCTATCTAAGCTTTTCTTTAAGTTTATGAGTTGTAACAAAATGGGAGGATAAATTAAAAAAGTCTTTGAGACAGTACGTATAAAACAAAGGCAATAACAACTGTTGTTGTTGGCAATCCTAAATGTCAATCGATAGCGCGTTGATAAAACGTTCCGTTACACGCAAATGTTCTTTTACTTGTTCTTTATATATAAAAATAAAAAACAATAAATAAATATACATAATACTTTTGAATTTATTTCTTTTTTTTATATACATATTTTATTTCCTGGCTTTAATATGAGTTTTATTATTGTTTCATAGAATAATAAAATTACGGATTTTATGAAATATACACATATCTGGTCGTCAGGTACGATTTGGCCATTGTTATTAAAATTACTTGAGATTCGGCTGTATGCAATATGGTTTCTTTTTTTGTTCGAGTAATATTGCAAACTTCTTGTACGTTCTTATCAAATGCACATATAAAAACTGCATGTTAGTATGACTGTAGATACACTTTAAATTATTTTCACTGCACAAGTAGTGTTTGTATCTTATCACCAAAAATATATGTAAATATTAATATTTACTCAAATTAAGGCTCAATTAAGATTGAAAAATGTCATTTTGGGATTTGAACCGGCATCCACAGGGTTCCTTGCTGTTACTCTTTCTGTATTTTATATAATGCCATCAAGATAAATCGAGTTTGAATTAAGTAAAAAAAAACTATTAGAAATGAATTTAATTTATATAATTATTAATATGTTGTACCGCCTTTTTTATTTATTCGGCAGGAAGTTTTACGAAACCCGACGTTGTTTGTTATAAGAATTCACATCCTAATATTTACGATAAAAAATATGAGTTTTCGATACTTCATTATGACCTTAAATTAAAATATGCGTCAAATATACCAAACAAATAAGGAAAATTAAAATTTCTTAATTGTTAACGTCATAAAGTTCGTATAAACTGTTTTAATTAAATTTAAGTAATTATAATAATGGATTTCGATGTTTACATACTTAATGCTGGCACTTTGTCTTAATTAAAGAATGATTGACATGGGCAGAACGTGAACCTGATGCTTTAAGCAAAGAGTGAGCTACTGTTTTTGATATATTTTTACTAAACGAAGCCTACAATTGCGGATCTAGTCGTGTCTTCAATTCTAAGACTTTTTAGTTCTGACTTCTGATTAAACTCCCGACCTCATTAACCGTACCAGCCCGTCCCACAGTCAGGAATCCCACATGTGGGAATTGTTATTAAAGACGCCGTATCTATGTATGTTGGCGATAGTTATTTCATATTACTATGTCTAAATTTTATTAATATGTATTTATGTATTAAATTTATTGTTGTATAAATGTTTATGTATATTATATTTATACTAGTTTAATTGTATGTTAGATAGTAATTTGTATTGTTTTTTATTTCGGGCATATCGTGTCAGCTTACACAAAGAATTACGTGATATTAAAATGCATTTAAGTTAAGCAGGCATTTTTATTTCATCATCTTAAAAAAATATTTTTTTTAAAGGATTCCTAATTTACTAGACGTTTTTATTTAAACAAGCGAAACTAATTATTATCTCTGTCATTTTTAACATTCGAAAATATATGTTACAGATTTTACATAAAAAATATTCCTTAACATCGCGAATTACACAGGTTTTTAAATATTTACTTCAAAAATATTGTTTACTTGCTCGTCTATGAAGTACATTGTTTGTTTAAATTTCATAATACATTATTTTTATTTGCCATATACTCGGCATAAGGGAAATTACTATATTCCCCCAGTGTTCAATTAATTTATTCGCCGTTACGCTGGCGTTACGCCAGGAACAAAATAATTATGTGTTGCATTTTTCCTTAAATTAATAATATAGTTTAATTAGTAACAACGCAAAAAATACTTAACTGTTTATAAAATAAATATACGTATTTTTCAATGTCAATTATTTTTGATTATGGTACCATAAAATAACGTATATCATAGACTAGCTGTGTCAGCGACTTCGTCCGCGTAGAATAGTTATTTTGGGCGTCCAAATTTGTTTTTGCAAACGTCCTCTTCATCTTTATAATTTTAAACTGCTATCCAAAATCGACATCGGATGCGTCCCGTCGATCTTGCAAGTTAATCTTCAAAAATAGATATAAAGTGTTGCGCAATTTCTTTTAGATCGTGTAAAAAGGAATCATTCTTTCTTACATATGTTATAGATATGTTGAACCATTTTCGCAGCGTATCCATCGGAATCCCACAGAGTTGAAATACCTCGGGGTATCTTTGCTTCTATAAGTCACAGCGCGTTGCACTAACCAACACAAAAATAATTTTTCAATTCAAACCCGTAGCTCCTGAGATAGCGCGTTCAAACAAAAAACAAACAACAAACAAACTCTTCAGCTTTATATATAAGTAATTTTATTAGTATGTTTGCATTGCGTTGTTTAAAAGTAAATTACTTCAATACTGTGGTAGGACTATCTGTATCGATTCCGGGTCACGAAACACCCCTTACATCTGTAGATTTCCGCATATCTAAAACCAAAATAGGTCGATAACGCATTTTGTTAAGATGTTATTCATTTATTGGGTTACTCGTTTGGGGTAACTTACCTTCCATTGATTATCCTCCTCTTTCAAATTCTAATAAATTAAACCCTTATATCACGGATACGAACTAACTTTATTTCTTCATCTGACATTTGACACACAGTAATTAGGAGTGATATTGCCGATACAATATAGACATAAAATAACAAAAATAAACAAACGAAATACATGAAGAAATGTATGAAGATCTCACGTATTTGAAACAAAACTTTTCCGATTTGTACTGAAACTTAAAGTGATATAGTATTAACTAATCAAGTGCAAAATGACCTCTGAAAACCGTATTACCTTGCACTTCGTAAATACTTAACATTCTCTACAAATTGAGCTCAAAGAAAATCCAGTGAAATCCCGCAGCATTTTCCGAGTAACTGTTGATAGAAAATTCTCTAATGTTCTTGTTGAAATCATAGCATATACCTTAAATAGCTTGACCGCAAGCAATGTGGTTTTAGGTATTTACGGAATAATAATATAAGCGAACATAGAAGTATTTCTGTTCTAGAAGTAGCTTCTAGAACAGAAGTAGTCTTATTTAAATTAAACACTTTTAACAGTTTAAAACGTGAAGTGTATTATTTCAATTTATTCACAAATAGTTTTAAGTACGGCGACGTTCCGGATGGTTCCCACCCGTGGTCACGGGGTAAATAAGTTAAACAAATACATTTCGCGTTTTGAACTGTTAAAAGTATTTTATTTGAATGTGTACTACTCGCGTAAACTACAGACTGGTCATATGATTAGCACATTCTATCAAAGAAGTCTGTAGTCAGTGAATTTATTTCTTTTCATTCAGAATGTTCCAGTCTCTATTTGAGATAATCTCGTTTGAAGTAACCAAGGCACAACAAAATTAAATTCCAGCAGAAATATACAGCTGTCGTCCAACGAAAAACGAATTATGTTTTATAGTTTGAACTCGGAAACGTGAACTTCAATCGTCCAATTTTCTTAACTTTTCCATTACGAGACTGCTTCGTACTCAATTTTCCATTTCCTATTTACGATATAATGCACAAACAAAGTCGTTTCGAGTCTTGTACACAAAATAATAAATATCACACACCATCGTACAACAATAATGACTATTATTCATTATATTTTTTTATATACTAGTGACCTATTACAAATATCCTACTATGTTTAATAGCAAATAATCTAATAAGACAAAAGTAGTACGTCCTATCTAAGTAAGTAAGGTTTGCCAGAAACCAATAATTTTTAGTTTAATTCTAAATAAGGAATTTCTTACGGTTAAAATCATTACTTTAAAACACTACTCCGAGTTTTAATTACTGCATAAAAACCTTAACTCCGCAATAAAAGTTTCAGTCTTCAGACTGAAACCAAATCTGATTTACACTATACGGTTTTTTCATCTATCAATCCAGGTTTATGACCCTGATAGAATTTCGATACTGCCTACCACCAATTTATTATCCAGATTTCCAGACGAAGTCCATGTTTCAGAAAAGAATTATTAGATATTTATTGGACCTGGTGGGGATCGAATCTCAACATTTAATTAAATATCCATATATTCCAGACAAATTGAATTAAGATACTGGTGGGAGTCGAACTACGATACATGGTTTATTAGTAATGTCAAAGGTTCATTTGCATAATCTACAAGTGTACAGCGGGGACACTCCAGTATTAAAGAACGCATTTTGGGACGCGCTAGTTGGTCTCTTGGTAGAAATGTATGGTCTATGGTATATGCTATATGGTATAGCGCGTCCCAAAATCCGTTCTTTAATACTGGAGTGTCCCCGCTTTACACTTGTAGATTATGCAAATGAACCTTTGACATTTCACGTCCGGCCAAACTCCCTGAATACAGATGCAAATTCAATGTAAGCGCTTCACGGGTTTAAGGTGAATAATTTATGTAATTAGAACAGTGCATTGTTTATTGGCAGAATTAAATGCTTCTATTGTTGTTAGGTAAGTTCTATTTGTCTATTGGTCTAGAGTCTAGACAGTGGTTTTAAACATCATGTAATTTATGTAAAACCTAAAGTTTGCGGTTTGAAGGACCTGAAAACCTCGGGCGTTTAAAACTGGAAACAGGAAGCATACCCTAGAAACACCTTAACACTAGGAAGCACAGTG